TAGATTTAATATTAAAGATTCTTTCATTTCTTTAAAGCTATCCAAAATTCTTGCCATCAATGTCTGCCGGCAAAATATCTTGATAATCATCTTTATAAAAGAACCATTATCCACAGTATCTATTATAAAGTTCAATATGACTTTGTCAGCCAATTTTTGAGATACACCTGGTGTTGATGAATCCAAATTGCTTAATTTTGTTTGAATTAATTTAATTTGGAAGTGGATGAATCTTCTTCCATTACCCCAAAACTTTTGAGATATTTTTTAATCTCTTCATAATTTGAGGTGTGAACAGTCTAAAATTTTAACAGTAATACTTAGAATAAAAATTATGTAGTAGATAAGTACATAAAAATGATTGAAATAACTATTTTAAAATGTTTTAAATATTTTAGATAAAATTTATAAATATATAAAAAAAATGATTGGTCTTTGATTTAAATTTATTTTAAAAATTAAGGATTAACCTACAGATTGATATTAAATTTGTTTAATATATTATCTTTAAATGTTTTGTCAAGCTTGTATGATTTGAGGATAAAATTTTGCGACACATCTTGCATCGAAACCGATATCCAGTAGTAATTTTTTCTTTAAGATTAAAGTATTTTTTGAATTTTGGGAGGGGATAATCTATATTTTTCTCATTTTCCAAAGAAATTTCGTTATCTTCAACAATCTCACACATTTTTAATAACTAGATTTATAATGTAAATTTTTAAAAAATAAATTTAAATTTCAAAATAAAATAAAATAAAAGGATTATAATTTTAGATTTAATAAAAAATATATTTTATTAGATGTATTTATTATGTAAAATTGAAAGTATTCGCTACTTTCTAAATTAGTAGCGAGCTGCCGCTATAGCTATTTTCTAAAATAAGTAGCCCGCTAAAGCTACCGCTACTGAAAAAGGTAGCGCGCTACCGCCCTATTTTAACAACACTGGTTTTAATACAATACATAAGATAATATAATGTTTTAATCAAAACTATTAACTATAGGAAAGCAAAAGACAATTATAACGACATTTATAATAATAATAATAATAATAATAATAATAATAATAATAATAATAATAATAATAATAATAATAATAATAATAATAATAATAATAATAAATAATAATAAATAATAATAATAATAATGATAATAATAATATACATGATTCAATAAAACATCTTCCATTTCAATATTTTATTCATACACTATTATTAAGGGGAGAGAATACATTTTAGATTAGAAAAGAATTTTTCTCATACGCGTATTCAGAGGGGATATATAGGTTTGTGTTTTCGTCATAATGTTTATTGGAGGTCTTTAGGTACTAATTTCAAACCTATATATGTTATATTTTTTTTTATAAAAATAATTTTTTCCCACTTTTATTTTATAAAATGATATTTATTTTTTTTTTTATCAAAAATTGTGAATTAAAAGTCGTTATTTTCAAAAATTATTTCTCCTATCACTTATTTTTCTTTCAAATTATTGTTTTTTAGTGATATATTGTATACATTTTTATAAGCGAGGGTGGAGGGAAATTGTATTAGCTTAAAATGAATACTTCCGGGAATACAAATTTCCGGTGGAGTGAGGTTACACTTTTTCGCACTTTGATTGGGTTCATGATCTTACATATTTATTTGAATAAATAATAATCGCTACTTTCTATTAAGGCATTCGTATCCTCTCGCCCGTCATGCGAGCCCATACACACGCTGGTAAAAAATCCTGACTCTTTGCTTCCTCCATCGGCACGAAAGAAAGACTGGGATAACCCTCTAGTTGGCAACTCTGTTGCATACCTTAAAAGAGGAGCCAACTTAAGGACAATTCTCTACTTTTCTCAATTTCCGCATGTAGCGGTTACAAACTTCTCGAAGCTTTTCATTTAGAAATCTTGACCAAGTTACGACACTACATTGGTTTTAGACTCCTTTGAGAAATAGTTAATATTCTATCACTGTATTCTCGGGTCAAACATTGGTCGACTCCAAAGGCGCCACTCTTTGCACTGTAAGCGTTGTAGAAGCAGATTCCTTAGACATTCAAAGGACAATGATACTACAGCCTGGGCCTTAAAATCTACTATCTGTCAACTCTCCAGCCCACTGGTCTTTACAATTCCGATGGTAAACGGCCTGATTGTTCTGCCATAATACTTTGGAAATGTAGAAATTTCTCGTATTTTGATCCTATAGCCTCTTCTAATATAAATAGGATAAATTTGCTAAATATTTGCCATCACTACCTAACAACTATACATTCATACCCATAATCGCCACAACTTTAATATCTTTAGGCTCTCACACCCTAGCCTTTCTTAAAGAGTTGGAGCACAGGATCTCTGATAGGAACGCGGATCCCAAAGAGGGTTACTAACTGCGTTAAAGCTTGTCCATCAACATAATAAGGAGCAATTATCTTAGCTTTATACACAAACGAGCCCTCGTGAGATCATCTATGCTTGGGATACGCTTAGATTACACAGCTCGCAATTAAGAAATAATTATAATAATTGCTTGTCAAAAACATGTCCTGTCTGTTCACATAGTTTTCGCTAAAGAATAATCATAGAAAACTATTATAGATAAAAATCTTTAGAATGGGAATGAAATTTTACACATGGAATGGAACTATAAAAAAAAATTAACAAAAATGATTGTTTGTTATGTAATTAAAATAAAATGGTCACCAAATAATATTTTCCGGAGTTATAAAATTCTTGAAAAAAACGAAAGAATAAAAGAAAGAAAGAAGGAAGGGAAGAGAAGAGAAGGAAGGAAGAAAGAAAATCAAATTATTTCCGTTGTCTATTGGTGAATTTAAATTTTAAAAATTTTGATATCGCCACATAAATACAAAGAAGTTAAGCTAATTATCCAAAAGAAAAATTACATACCAGTGATATTAGCGGAGCCACCCATTTGGCTTGTTTAACTTATAACATTGCGCTTGTGGACCAACATGCTTTTGATATTTTATGTAATAAAATAATAATCTAGATCATGGCCCGATTTTGTATCTTTATATTTTACATTCGTTACCACATCCTTTACCTGGTAAAGGAATTATTTTTAGCCTAAATTATTGAAAAAATATAGAAGGCCGGATGGAGTCAAATCTTTACATAATAAAGATCTATTGGTCTTCAACTTTATTTTATCAACGAAATCCTTGGGCTTAAGACATTATTAACTTTTTACAACAAAATATTGAAAGATGATATTCCTGAGTCTGTGATGGATATATTATTTGATGATAGACTTTTTGCATTGATCTAAACCTACGCTGGCGATAGGGTTCCATATCTATGGTTTCGGCTTTTAGAAGACTTACTTCCAATACAATAGTTATTAACATAGTCATAAATCTTCAATTTTTTTAGATCTTACCCAATTAGATTCTGATATTGAAGAGGTATGGGAAATAGCAGCCCATGCCGTTAGAATATACTTCAATAACACCACTTTAGATACACTGATGTGTAAGTTTGACTTTCACCTTTACACTCACCAGGGAAATATTTATTCATTCATTTTTTTAAAAGTCTTTCTTTCACTAACACTAATAATACCAAATCTTTAAAGTTTGTTATGGTTTCAAAACTACTCTTAATTATGGTCCCTTTGGCTTAGATTCATAGGAAGGATCTTTTATGTAATCTCGATATTAATTCTTATGAACTCAAATTTAATTTTGATATAAATATATGAAATTTAGCAAAGTTGATAATGTATCTAGACACGATAAATTAGCATCTGTAAAAATTATTTATATAATTTATATCTAAATGATATTTTAGAGATATCTGTATCCATTCTTAGTTACTTTTTAGACATAATTTTATTTAAAATTATATATGAATTAAATTCATTTAATAATAATATGTCCGAGTTTTATTTCACCACAAAAACTAAAATTTGTTGAACATCCTTTAAAGTTAAAATTTAACGATTTTAGCTGGAAATCAGCATCCATATTTAAGATAATGAATGGGCTTGGTTGTATTCCTCCTTAATTAATATTTTTAGTTATTTATCTATCATCTAGAGAATGTACCAGATTCTCTTCATACATTGACTTTAGAAGATTGAAAATAAAGGGTCTATTATCGATACCCTTTCCAGTAATGAACAAAAAGCCTTACTGAGCATTTGATTAATGTATTACGTAATAAAATGTGGGAAATTGTCCATCCCCCCAATGATATTCATCTGCTAAGTTTAGCTCAAAATATAAAGAATTGACAATCAGTAGTGGTTTGATGCTTTCGATTCTTTACCTAGTCAGAATTAATGTCGTTAAGGGTTGAGGAATAGAATAGAATTACAGTTGGCTCTTGCCTAGGATACCATATTACACTGCAACACCAGTACTCTAGATATTCCATACCAGTCGAAAGTAAAGGTAGCCTTTTCCGCATTATCATTCTTCAAAGAAATAGACTCACTCATTCATAAATTTTACTATGGGCCGCCAGGAAGATTCTATCTTAAACAAGAACTCACAATAGCCATACAGAAGTTCAATTACATTAGCTTCATGGGAAACCTATTTCCCAAGAAGCCAATCTAAGTACAAATTTTTTTTTATACATAATAGATAAATTTTTTTAAAAATATTAATTATTCAATATATCTTTATTATCTTTAAATTAATAAAAAAATATACATTTATTATATTTTATTGCTTTATTTTAAATAAAAACAATTTATTTATTGCGAAATTATATATTTTCAACGGAAGTTATTTAATTATATATTACTCAAAAATATACTATGAACCCTAAAAAGGAATTATTTATATTTACACTATATTTTTGCATGTACAATATAAAAAAGATAAGACTATAAACACATAGGTTTATCTATATATTTTAAGTATAATAAAATAAATAGTATACATTATTATACAAGTATTATACATTATATTATATATATATATATATAAAATCTTTTTAATTTTATTGCTTGAAATTTCTTAATATATATATGATACGTTATTTTAATTTACCAATATCCTAGATTCACAACAAAAAAATTTAAAAAAAAACAATATTTTTTTATGGTTCAAAGTTTCAAAGATTGAATTTAAACCCAATGACAAAAAAATTAATTTTTAAAAATTTGCTGAAGGTACTTTCAACTGATAAAGGTGAATTCTGATGGAGCAACTTGTTAAATGTTATTAGTAGTTTAGCATAAAAAAGAACACTTCCGAACACATAAATATCTTCATTACGACACTTCGCTCTTATTTGTTTTAATAGAAAATTTGGTGTAAGCACGTTGGAAGTCTTGGATAACCTTGTTATTAACAAATATAAAATCGTTCGCTAGAGCTTTGGGATGGGTCACTTTGTTGACTAAGGTAAACGCGCGGGCGATCATAAAATTCTTTAGGTTAAAACTTCCTTGTCTGACGTGGTAAAATTCCACCGACAAAACCTTTTACAATGAGATATAAATTATATATATATATATATACAAGAAAGAAAGAAAGAAAGAAAGGGGCTAAAATTATTTTTCTTCATTCAAATCCTAAACCTTGATAAACACTTTATCGAACGGAACTGTCATTAAAACGTCAAGCTCGGATCCTTCGATATCCAGGGAAAAATAATCTATTTGGGTTTTGTTTAAGGCTAATAGCATGGAGTAAAGCGGGAAACAGGGCATAGCTTTTCCGATCGTCTCCTTCTTATTTGTCCCCGGGTGTATCACGTGGCCCAAATTGAAATGTTCGTAAAACGGTAACTTTTCGTTGGGATCGTTTAATATAATATTTATACAACATACATATATATATTACGGTACTAAATTATGTTTGTAAGGAGTTTAATAAATTGCGGCGGGATTCATGGCTTCATTAGATCTGAACTTTTAAAGTAAACTTTATACAAAACTTAAAATCGTGGTTAGAATAAATACTTTAAAGATCTCATTCTGTCCATCTCCCGCGAATTTCAGACTATTTTGTCGTGAGTTTTTGTTAAATTGATATAAAATTAAGGGTAATCTACAAGTTTATGACAAAATTGCTTGATATCATAGATAGTGTCGTTAAAAGGCCAGATTAAGATTATAACCAAAATAACAGTATCCAAGCCTAAAGATTTTGCTCATAGCTGACAGAGCAGAAATGCTCGGACACCCATTTGCCAAATTTCGATGCTTAACATAACATAATTTTTTTTAGCTAAAGTCTATAAACCGGCCGTTTCGAAAAATCGACCAAAATTAGGCTTTTTAGCAACACTAATCACAGAGATGGTAATTTATATCACAGGGCTTGCAACATGGGGACGCGATAAAGTGCCGCAAATTTTAGGTGGAGTAATCTTAGACTCTACTTAGTCAATATCCATTTTATAATTGAAATCATTTTGTATTTTAGCCATCTTAGAAAATCTCAGTGTCGTTAGGATTAGGGGGAGTTTCTTAGCACTTTTGATTGCGGTAATAAATTTAACATGGTATTAGAACTACTCTAGTAATAATCTTAAAACATAAATAATATTACTCACTATAAGGGGACTGGGTTTGATGCTCATGCAAGAGTTGATGGAATACGATTTCCTCCGTTTTCCCAACAGTAGATTGAAATTTTTGGCGTCCGCTTCGACCAAGAGACCTTCCCATTTGAACTCCCTCTCCAAATACAAGGAATTGGAACGGGTTTCTCCGTCTAGTGCCCCGCACTCCACGAAAAAGCCAGGTTGCTTTTTTAAAAAAAATAATAATAATAAAGTATCCGAAAAATTGATAATTATTCACGTCATATTATTGATCGATGTATGCTCTATTAGCAATGTATAGCGTTAGCCTTAGGGACAGATATAAAATCAAGCTGATAAACTGCCTAATTTCTTAAAATCTTATTCCTTCTGAAATTATGAATGTTGGATTTGTATTTATCGCATCTATCCTTTAATAGTTAGACAAATATGAGATCTTTTCGAAATAGTTAAAAAAATATATAAAATATACCAACTATTCTACCTGTAAACATTTTTTTAGGGAGTATTATAAGGTCCCTTGCTTTTTTTTTACCTTGAATTTATAGTGACGCGATCGCGATGGCGATTTAACAGTTGATCGATTTTTTAAAAATTTGTTTATGACATCAATCATTTTTATTTTGTCAATAATTAATTCTATCTTTAATCGAGATAATTTGCAATTCATTATTATTTTAACTGATTTAATATATTTTGTACTTCGGTTTGTTTACTTTTTATTTACAAATCAATCTAAATACGTCAATCAATTAACATACACAATTAACAATATATTAAAATACAATTTATCATATTATTGATTGCATCTTGAGGTTAATCGATTCTATTACATTAATATCAATTCAATTCAATTCAATTCATAATAATAATAATCGAAAAAATAATGATTTAATAAAATAAAAATCAATCTCGTAGACAGAATTTAACTGTCAGCTGTTAAATAGCGATCGCAATGGCGCCCACTATGATTTTCGAGGTTACGCTTTACTCAGCCATCAAAAAATAAGTTAATTAATTGGCTAATTTTAGGATAAAAAATTTACAAAATAAATTATTTGTGCGTATTACTATTTTTGATTTTGTTATATTATATTATATTATTATATATTATATTTTATTATATTATATTTATATTTATATTTATTATATTTATATTTATATCTATATATTTCTATTTCTATTTATATTTATATTTATATTTATATCTATATTTATATCTATATTTATATTTATATCTATATTTATATTTATATTTATATTTATATTTATATTTATATTTATATTTATATTTATATTTATATTTATATTTATATTTATATTTATATTTATATTTATATTTATATTTATATTTATATTTATATTTATATTTATATTTATATTTATATTTATATTTATATTTATATTTATATTTATATTTATATTTATATTTATATTTATATTTATATTTATATTTATATTTATATTTATATATATTTATATTTATATTTATATTTATATTTATATTTATATTTATATTTATATTTATATTTATATTTATATTTATATTTATATTTATATTTATATTTATATTTATATTTATATTTATATTTATATTTATATTTATATTTATATTTATATTTATATTTATATTTATATTTATATTTATATTTATATTTATATTTATATTTATATTTATATTTATATTTATATTTATATTTTATATTTATATTTATATTTATATTTATATTTATATTTATATTTATATTTATATTTATATTTATATTTATATTTATATTTATATTTATATTTATATTTATATTTATATATATATTTATATTTATATATATATTTATATTTATATCTATATTCATATTTATATCTATATTTATATTTATATTTATATTTATATTTATATTTATATTTATATTTATATTTATATTTATATTTATATTTATATTTATATTTATATTTATATTTATATTTATATTTATATTTATATTTATATTTATATTTATATTTATATTTATATTTATATTTATATTTATATTTATATTTATATTTATATTTATATTTATATTTATATTTATATTTATATTTATATATATATTTATATTTATATTTATATTTATATTTATATTTATATTTATATTTATTTATATTTATATTTATATTTATATTTATATTTATATTTATATTTATATTTATATTTATATTTATATTTATATTTATATTTATATTTATATTTATATTTATATTTATATTTATATTTATATTTATATTTATATTTATATTTATATTTATATTTATATTTATATTTATATTTATATTTATATTTATATTTATATTTATATTTATATTTATATTTATATTTATATTTATATTTATATTTATATTTATATTTATATTTATATTTATATTTATATTTATATTTATATTTATATTTATATTTATATTTATATTTATATTTATATTTATATTTATATTTATATTTATATTTATATTTATATTTATATTTATATTTATATTTATATTTATATTTATATTTATATTTATATTTATATTTATATTTATATTTATATTTATATTTATATTTATATTTATATTTATATTTATATTTAAATTTAAATTTATATTTATATTTATATTATATTATATTTATATTTATATTTATATTATATTATATATCTATTAATATTTTTTTTGGAAATTTAAACGTTCTACAAAATAGTTAAAACGTAAGTAAAAAAAAAATAATTACAATCACCAAGGGTTATTATCAAACTATTGAGTTATTATATAGCGAAAAATAAATATTAAAAAAATTAATCAGGACGTCTCAAATAGTGTTGTTAAACGGCTCGTTTTAAGCCGATTTTTAAAAACGGCTAACTCAATATTTTATCCAGAGGAATACTACGCAAGCGCGAAGATTTTGCTCATAGAAGGAACAAAGGTCTAGACATATATTATCGAAATCCCAAGGCCTAGGTAATATTTTTCTGGCTAAAATATTGAGTTAGCCGTTTTAAAAAATAGGCCGTACCGTCTATCGCCTTAGTCGGCAAGAGCGCGTATTACTCAGACGATTTAAATAACGACCAAAATTTATTTTTTTAAAATATTTAAGAGGCGGAATCACGCGATCACCTTCGCGATATTCCGTATATCATAATCCGTGTCACGGGACCACCTAGTCGGCTTCAGATAAAAATCTGGTCCTCGTTAGATTCGAACCCCAGATGTTTGTGATTGGTAACTTAGCTCAGTGTCGGCTAGGCCCCAAGGACGATACAAGGAAACATCCACACTTTTTTTCGTACAATAATAAATTAAATAAATGAACGGAGAATACAAATTTTAGTGAAATTTTTTTTATATAAACTACTCTAATTGTGGGTTCGAACCCAGCACAAGGAACACCATTTTTTTTCTTCTAAAGCCGGCTAAGGCGGTTCCGTGTTGCGGAAGAAGATATATATAAAATGTAGGAGGCGATATTCAATGATTCCGGGGTTAATATCAGAGTTGTTAGAAGATACTTTTTAAATGGATCTAAATACAGATACATTGTCTATAACAATATTTAGGTACAGATATTTTAATCAAAAATCTATCTAGGTACAGATACAGATACCACATTTTTATATCTAGATACAGGATGATCTAAAAAAATGATTGGGTTTAATAGCATTTTAGTAAAATTCACAAATAGCGGAGCGAGTGACAAATGCCGATAGATCCCAAAGAATGAGATATCATTAAAACATATGGGTGTGTATCATCAGTATCTAATTTTTATCGAGCAGGAACTATGTTGAATAAAAATTATACAAGTATTTAACTAAAACCATAAATAGAATAATAAAATATAAACTTGCATAGGTTTTAATATAGTGTTGCTAAATCACTCTAACTTTGACCAATTCCAAAGTGATTCCGTCAAGTTTTTATCCTAAAGATTCAGTTTCTAATATCGAAGTTTAGGGTTTCAACTTAGAGGTTTCGGCCTAGTTTTTAGGCTAAAAGCTTGGCTGAGCTTTATTGGAATTGGCTAAAGTTATGCGACATAACCAAGTAGTTTTAATATCAACCTAAAATATTTGGGGAATGATGAAATTTAAAATATAATAGATTTTGAAAAAAATTAAAATGCGCTCGCTACGTCATGCACTACGTCGCTACGACATGACGTAGTGAGGGCACGTGACGTAGTGAAGACATCAGAATTACGTAATATAGATTAAACAACCCACTTTTAGAAAACAAAAAAAACAAATTGTCATCTTTTGATTCTTTGGGGAGACCGGGGTAGAGTGGACTGGGTAACAATGTTAGCGTGAATAATAAATTAAAATTTTTGTGTAAAATTAAATATACACCTTTTTTTTATAGCATAAGTTAATAGTTTGGCATAAATGACTGGTTTTTCTATATTTTGAAAAAAAATTCAGATTTTGACACATATTAAATTATAAAAAATCTTGAATTTACTAAATGATTGGAGATTTTGTATATACATTCATGGTCCTTAAAGTTTTACCTTTAAAGTTTATTGGGCGGTTTAAAAGATTAGAGCTGACAGCAGGTCGTGCAACGATGATTTATATATAATAAGTATCTTTTTTGGGAGGGTAAAACAGCTATGAGTACTGTTTTTATATCGCATAACTTTAGCCAGTTCCAATAAAGATTAGCCAAGCGTTTAGCCTAAAAATTAGGCTGAAACCTCCAAGTTGAAACCTAAACTTAAATATTGGAAACTAAATCTTTAGGATAAAAACTTGACAGAATCATTTTGGAATTGGTCAAAGTAAGGGGATGCTATGGGTAAACCATGTTCCATCCTTATAATTTATTATACATTCTTGCCTTATTTGTTATTGTATTGAGTTTTTTTTTATAAATTAAATATAATAAATTAGATTTAAAAAAATATATATATTAATATTTTGTTCAATAAAAACAACTAAGTTATGTTTAATCTAATTTTTACGCACATTTTTACCCTTGAATTCGTTGTTGGCGCGAAATTCTCGGCGAAATTATACAAAATATTCTGTAATTTTTTTTTGCATTCTTTGCCGCGAATTTTAAGCAAACCGTAAAATCAGCTGGGTGTCTAGCAATTTATTTATCCTAGGTATGGGGTAAAAATGGCCGAAAATGGCATACTTCGAAATAAATAATCGTAGTTTCATACAAAAGTATTTTAAGGTACCAATGCCTTCCTTTTAATTCTTTTTATCTTGTAATTGAATATCTACAATGTGTTTGATTTTGCTTTTTTTTAAATACTTTTTAAGGTAAAAATGTCAAAATACAGACAATTTTTTTTCCCCAGTCTCCTCTTTAACCCGAATTAAGTTAATCATGATGGCAACATATTATCGAATCCTAGAAAATTTTTACAGAATTAGCCAGCATTTAAAGAGGAATTGAACATCAAATTAAAAAAATATATATGGAACTCGAATAAATAATTATTACAAACGTAGTAAATATTGGTAAAATATACTTTGAAATCGAGGTAAGGTCTTATAGCTTCGATTTGCCCCATGGAAAAATCTTTCTTGGCCGGCTCTTTTAATATATATTCGGGGTACGTCGAAGGCTTAAAAATTGATAAGATAATAAATATCATTATTTATAGTGTAATACTCTTCTTCTTCTTCTTCTCTCTCTCTTCTCTTCTTCTTCTTCTTCTTCTTCTTCTCTTCTTCTTCTTCTCTTCTTCTTCTCTTCTTCTTCTTCTTCTTCTTCTTCTTCTCTTCTCTTCTCTTCTCTTCTTCTCTTCTTCTCTCTCTCTTCTTCTTCTCTTCTCCTCTTCTCTTCTCTTCTCTTCTCTTCTCCTTCTCTCTCTCTTCTCTTTCTCTCTTCTCTTCTCTTCTCTTCTTCTTCTTCTCTCTTCTTCTCTTCTTCTCTCCTCTTCTCTTCTCTTCTCTTCTCTCCTCTTCTTCTTCTTCTCTTCTCTTCTCCTTCTTCTTCTTCTTCTTCTCTTCTTCTTCTTCTTCTTCTTCTTCTTCTTCTTCTCTTCTTCTTCTTCTCTTCTTCTTCTTCTTCTTCTTCTTCTTCTTCTTCTTCTTCTTCTCTCTCTTCTTCTTCTTCTTCTTCTCTTCTCTTCTTCTTCTTCTTCTTCTTCTTCTTCTTCTTCTCTTCTCTCTTCTTCTCTTCTCTCCTCTTCTCTTCTTCTCTTCTTCTCTTCTTCTTCTCTCCTTCTCTTCTCTCTCTCTTCTCTTCTCTTCTTCTCCTCTTCTTCTCTTCTTCTTTTCTTTTATTTTCTCTTCTTGTTTAAGTAAAGACCCAACAATTCTAATGCCATTTATTCACTATTAATGGGAAAAGGTATCTTACTTTATGTTAATAAGTTCCATTTACCGTTAAAGTAACGGCAAAACTGATTTATTATTATAATATTTTTTATTTAATAATATTACATACTTAATACTTTGAGCGCGACTAACTTAAGATTTATTAATATTGATAAATGATTGTTTTAATTATTTTATATTAAAATATTAAATAAATATCATTTTGAGTAATGAAATGATTATTTTTATACGTGGAAATGTAATTCATCATTATAAAAATGTTCATTTTTGATTATTAGATCAAAATATAGAAATTCTTAGGTATATTTAACCCTTCTACAATTCCGCCCTTATATTTTCATGGTCTGGCTTATGCGCGTAACCCAATTTGTAAACGTCTCCTCATTGCCTTGCATGGCAGCATAGAATACGGAGAGAGCTTAGCATTCTCGGATCTTCCGAGGTTGTTTGAAGTTTGAATTTGCCAAAAAGAGCCATTGGGTCCAGGAAGTCTGCTTCCGTACAGATTGCTGCAATGTTGCTAAACAACTCGTTGTCAGGTATGAACTTCGAAGAAACTTTGCAACTTCCCTCTGTTAGGCCCTGTCATCGCTACTAAATTAAAGGAAAATCAAACTTGACAAATTCGGATCATGTAGATGGAATCATTCGAATGCAACCGTCGTTAAGGAACTTTACTTGGTTATGAGCGTTACATTTGAGGGGGAGAATGATATCGTGAAAGAATTTTGTCTTGGCCACCACGAAAATATAAGTGTAGAAATGTTGAAGGGTTAAATATTGATATTTATTTAAACGGAACATATTAACAACTTTAGATAAGAAAAAAAAATGGCGAAACAGAAAAAAAAACATATGTTTGAACTAAATATGTTTTTATTATATCAATTTTGAGGGTAATGAGGTGTAATGGAGATGATTGTGAACTAATGGGGACGGGAGTATTATTTTTTTTAAAAAAAATGTTTCAATTCATCTATATGATACAGCAATAAACGGCAATGTCTTACTAAAAAATGCATATAATATATATATGGTAGTAAGACTATAATTCTAATCCATTTTGCTTAGAGGGGAGGGGTCGCTTACTTCTAAAAGGAATGGCTTAAAAATATATTCGCCTAATTTTCTTCTCCAGCAGAAACCGTTTTCTGGAGCGATAATTAAAGCTATTCCTGTGCCTACTGTAATTCTGCCAGGCCCCTAGACATATTTTTCATTTTTCACTTTTAATTTTACCGGGGAAAGTTAAATAGAAAGAGATAGGGGTTCGACTTCAAATACTAAATTAAAAAAATAAATAATAATAATTGAAAACAGTATTGTTTGCTTTATATTGATCATAGACCTACAGAGGTACCATTTGCACGGCCAGGCCCGGTTTTTCTTTCAAAAATTTTATACGGACCGGACCGGGTTTTATATTTTAAGGGGCCCGGTCCGGTTTTTAAAAAAAATTTACAGGTCCGGCCCGGGTATATTTTAAAAAAATTAAAAAAGGCCGGGCCTGCCAGGCTCTGATACTTGATTGATTTTGTTATAAAATATAAATAAATATTTTTTTTTACCGGGTAAATAAAACCCTCGCTAAGGGCCCTTATAACGCTAGGATCATCGGCCGCCAGTTTCCCGCTAAACAATAAATCCAAATCCCTGAATTTGGCCCGGGGTAACGTTATAGCGTTAAGTTCGAATTTCGTTTTATTTTGTTTACCTACCATGTTCGCTAACCTGACAAATTTGGCGGAGGAATTCGGGTTAAATTTTTTAGAAGAATTCGTTTTCGCCCTTTTTACGGTCGGGTTTATATCGTGCTTGATTCCCATATTCGAATCCTCCCGACTATTATTTATTCCGTTTTTCGATATCGACGACATATTAGAAATTTCCATTTCGATATTTTTGCCAGATGGCTTAGCCGTTATTTTGGTACCGCTCGATTTATTCGGCAGCGGAACGCGTTTAGAAGGGATGAGGAAGATGAAACGTATAGAATCGGCTGTCGGCGGAGTCGCCATATTTATTTGGAACGAAAAGGATTTGGGAAGAGATGAATCTTTATAAGATTCATTTATCCGGGTATCGGCTCCCATGATATTCTGACTACCACTGTTAGGAGAAGGTCGTAGGAAGCTTATTTTAACGCCATCTACACTTTTACGAATCTGAAAGGGAGAATAACCTTCGCTGGGCAACCAATTGGTATAGTTTAAGACTCCAGAATATACATGCTTTTTTTTGAAGACGTAAAAATAAGTCAGGATTAACGCGACAGGCACAAAAATGTAATAATACAACTTGGGGGTCTTAGCGAAACGGATCAATACCATGTGTTTTCCTCTGCTGAATTTTTTATTTTCCTCCAGGAAGAGAAGGATCTATCCAAATCGGATTCCCTCTTATGATTGGCGCTTATTCCAATTGTTTGATAAAAAAAAAATATAGAAATCGTTTAAATTTTTTTGTTACTTCTTTCTTTTTTTTTTTCAAAACGAATAAAAAAAAACAGCTGATATTCTTTCCAAAACTAGATTTAATTGATCTGTACAATTTCGAAAAATAGTCCAGTTTGAGAACCCTTTAAAAAATATAGGCCTAGAGAACTGGCCAAAGTGGACCTCTGTTCCCATATTTATATGCGAAATTTGGAGATTTAGGTAATATTTATTTTGCCTTAAAATCTTGACTCAGCCCTTCTTTTCGTTTTAAATCGAGGTTTTCGGGACAACACTTGCTCGAAAGGGTGTTTGCTATAAATTCGCACCCAATTTTCTTTATCATTTTTGAAAGATATTAATTTAGAAGTAATCAAATTTATCTTTCTTTTTTTATTAGTAATAAACTCTTTATCGCAGAAAGAGCTAATTCATGGTTACATCGATGACGTAATAATAATAATAATAATACCTAGACTGACGATAAAGAAAGAAAGAAAGAAAGAAAGAAAGAAAGAAAGAAAGAAAGAAAGAAAGAATACATTCATAATAATGCACGTGAAAGCGTCGCTGAATGCAAATCAGCTGAATCCGCCATTTTGGTAACCCTTCTCATGTTAAAAAATACTATTAAATTGATAACTTGCTTCCTTAATGATCTCGATCATCAGGCAATTCTTTAATAAAGTTTGCCTCAGACATGGGAATGAAAGTGGCCTCACGGGTAACCAAAATGGCGTCCCCAGCTGTTTTTATTGATGAACAACTATTAAATGAATGCATCGTTAGCCCTAGCCTAGGTATTATTATATGTCATTGGGTTTATAATAAGTAGCAAATATGGCTTCCCCCCCCCTAAATGTCCTCTCCAACAACGCTAATTACTATGATTTTAAGTATGAAATAGAATAAAAATAAAATAAAATAAATTAATTAATAATATATACCTAGTGGTGGGATGGGTGGAATATAATAATTCATAATAGAAAAAAAATATGATGTTTGACGTTTAATTGCTCAAAATGTCAAAACTTATTCATTAAAACAGCGAAATAATATATAACAAGGTATTCTAGAAAATAAAAAATTTGAAAGCTAGAAATTTTTAAAAACGAAAATAAACAATAGAACTGTCACAGCTGTTTAGCGGGGGTTAAATTTTTAATCCGTCGTAGCGGTAACCTTTTTTTTTATCCGCCAAGGAAAGAAGTTTTTTAAATAAAAATAAAATAAAAGAAAGAAAGAAAGAAAGTTAAAAGAGTTTCAAAATCAATTTTAAACTACATTTTTTTTTAAAATTTAATTTATTCCTAAATATACATGGGTTATTAAGCCCCGCCGACCAAACCTAAATATATTTTATATTTTATTAAAATTTTCTTTTCTTTTCTTTTCTTTTCTTTTCTTTTCTTTTCTTTTCTTTTCTTTTCTTTTCTTTTCTTTTCTTTTCTTTTCTTTTCTTTTCTTTTCTTTTCTTTTCTTTTCTTTTCTTTTCTTTTCTTTTCTTTTCTTTTCTTTTCTTTTCTTTTTCTTTTCTTTTCTTTTCTTTTCTTTTCTTTTCTTTTCTTTTCTTTTCTTTTCTTTTCTTTTCTTTTCTTTTCTTTTCTTTTCTTTTCTTTTCTTTTCTTTTCTTTTCTTTTCTTTTCTTTTCTTTTCTTTTCTTTTCTTTTCTTTTAATTATATATATATATATAGAATATTAGATATAGTATGTTAATTATAAATTTAATATTCTTTTAAATAAATGTGACAGTTTCACTTATATATTTTAAAAAATAATAATTATTAATTGAATATAGTTTTAATTTCTTTTAAAATTTATATTTTTTTTAAAAAATAAAAAATTTTTTAAAATCTTAAACAAAAAATGATACTAAATTTTATAAATTTAAAGCTAAATTCAATGACAAAGATAAGTGGGATTAAACTTCGAAAAGATATATATTGCTTATAATATTATCAGTGTGGTATTAAAAAATTATAACTTAAAATATTTTTTAATAAAATCTGTTTTGTTAGCATTTACGAAAATAGAGAGGAAAATTTTAGACATCTTATTTCTCAATAACAAATTTACCTGTTTATTTAAAACTTTTTAAAATAAAATTAAACCGAAAAAAAGGGGATTAAAATTAAATAAATATATTAAAGAATTATTTGTATTAATTATCGTGAAAATCGTAAAAGATAGAAAATAATATAATTTTTTTGCCTTCACACCCCTGGTAATCCATGATATAAATTGATTTCTAAATATAATAAAGCACTTTGCACAAAAACGTTTTTTGATGGCATTGGCAAAAAGATTATTTTCTAAATCATATGACAAGAAAGATTTTTAATTTTTTTCAATAATAACTTTAAAACTATTTTTTTTTTAAAAAAATAATAAAATAAAATAAGAAGAGATTTAAGCACCTAACCAGGGATTTTCATTGAAGAGGGGGAGAGGGGGGGGGTGAGAGGAGGATATTAAAAAATGATAATTAAAGTAGGTCTATAAATTAATCCAATATTAAAATATAATTTTAAGGAATATTCAGTATATTTATAGATATAAAATTAATTAAAAATCATTTTTTGTAGATGACTAACTTTCGTTAAATTTTCACTCATTTAAAAAAGATAAAATAAAAAAAAATAATAATATGAAAAATTTAAGTTTTAATTGTATTTTTATAATGGGTAAAAGCGATTTTTGATATTTTTTTTTATCATCTTTTTCATTAAATCATTTTTTTTAAAGTGATTTTTTTTTTGATTTTCCAATACTAGCAGAATATATATATAAATTTAGAGAAAAAAAAATTCTGTAATAAAATTCTGATGTTTTTTTTTTTGTAAAAATTGTATATATAAAAATTCTTAGGCTATAAAAGGTTATATGAAATCGTTTAGGACGTTTAAAGTGTAATTTATAAATTATAAGCAATATAATAGTTTTCAAATATATTAGGTTAATGATGCTTACTACCTTAAGGTACTACCTATCAAATGTGAATTTTGTTCATTTTCCATTTGGATAGGCACTACCAAATATATTTATAATATATATTTGAAAAAGCTGATTTTTGGAAAGCCTCTATGGCCTAGTAGGCAAGAGCTTGGCTTATTGATCCCATAGTCCCAGGTTCGAATCCCGGGAATAATCATGTTTTTTTTTCTTATTCTAACTTGGTGGTTCCATCCTTGGGGGATGATATATAGGAGGCCGGACTCGACCACGTGATTCCGTATTAATACATTAAATAATAAGACATTTTAATAAATTTTGGTCGGTATTTAGCAAATTAGGTTGGTATTTAGAATATTTCCATACATTCACTTGGTGGTAAGCATCATTATGGAGAATAAATTTACAGGTAAGCTACAAATAGCATATCTTAACATTAATGGATTGATGAATAAACTGACAGTTCTTTTAAGGATGTTAGATGCGGAAAAAATTGACATTTTGGGCATCCAGGAAACCCACTACCCTGGAGATATTACGGCTAATTTTAATGATTATAAAATGTTTTGCTCGGGCACTACCTCCAATAGTTGGTCGGGGATCGCTTTCCTCATTAATAAGAGAATGCAGAAATATGTCATGAAATTTGTACCCATCTCGGAAAGGTCTGTTATACTTATATACGAACTTCAAGCCTACAATAATCGTAAATTTCGTCGTCCCACCTAAAAGAAATGAGCGATCAGCCTTTATAGATATAATGATTAACATAATACACTCCTTACCAGTGAGATATAACATTATAATATTAGGTGATCTAAATATGAATATTGGCAGGGAAGTAGAATATATGAACAGAAATGTCACTGGGCATGCCACCTTAATACAAAGGAATAGTGAATACAGTAAGAAATTACTGGATTTCTGTAGTAATAAAGGTTTTAAAATTGAAAACACTTTTTTTAGTCATGGAGATAGGAGTACTTACACATTTGTAAGAGCTCAGCAACAATCACAAATCGACTTCTTCATCTCGAATATTCATCGTTGGTTTGTTGATGTAAAGGCTCTAACTAATATAAACCTATCAGATCATAGACTGCTTAGAGCAGTTATTATGATTAAAAATTTATGTGGGTATCATAGTGGAAACAGACAATCTTCAACTAGTTCTAGCGCTACTCCCTCGTGTAATGGTATAACTCGCAAACTAAATAAAATAAGAACATTGGATGATGCAAGATATTTTGATCAAGTATTAAGTGGGAAAGAAGCCAACTACTTGAATACAATTAGGCTAGAAAATGTTGAGAAAAGTTGGAATCTTTTTAAAGATGCTCTTGTTGATACATATAAAGTCCTGCCAGAAGTAAGTCTTATCCCAAGGAAGGAATGGATGGCGAATGATACCCTGGAGAAAATAAACCAAAGAACAGCGAATAGCTCTAATAAGGATCTATGGAAGCTGATACAGAGATTACTGCGGAGAGATAGACGAGTCTATAGCGCGAAGAAAGCTTTTGATATAGACAAAGATGTGAGAGAAAATAGACTATATGATGCATACAAGAAATTAAAATATTTCTGTAAACCTTGTAGCTTTAAGAAGATACCCTCTATCGTATTAAATAATGGTAAAGTAATAATTGACCAAGATGAACAAATGGCGTTGTGGCTTGATTATTGTATTACAGTTTTTGACGGGCGCAAAGTAACTAGACCAACTAGCTTAAATATAAATATTGCTTCACCCCAGTCTGGTTTCTCGGTAGTTGAAATAATGAATGTAATAAAGAAATTACGAAACAATAAAGCTCCAGGGCTCGACAACATTACTGCGGAGTATCTAAAGATAGCACCGAGAACGACATCTTCTTTCCTTCTGGCCCTCTTCAATAAAATATGGGAAAGTGGAAGTACCCCAACAGAATGGAACAAGTCCTTTTTATGTAATTTTTCCAAAATTGCAAATCCCCAGAAATTTACTGATTATCGTGTGTGCGCTCTTACATCTTGCGTGTCTAAAATATTTATGGTACTTATAAAAAATAAAATTGTTCAATCGACGCCTAATCTTTTTCCTAAACATATTTGTGCTTATAGGCCAAATAAAAATATACTGGAACCTATATTATCTCTGAAAATAATAATGCAGAAGTGTCATAAATACAAGATACCCTCATTCTACACATTCATTGATTTTAGTAGAGCATTTGACAACGTTAACCATGTAGCTCATTGGGGAAACGCTAGCAGAATGTGGTATTGAAACCCAAATAATTCGAATCCTAAAAAATCACTATTCAAATTTATTTGCTTGTTTCAAAATAAATGATAAAATCTCTCTCTTCTTCAGGATTAAAAAAGGTGTAAAACAAGGCTGCACCCTCTCACCGCTGCTTTTTAACATAATAATCAATAAAATAATAAAAGAAGTACTGGGAGCTGCTGATCTAGTTGATATAGGATCAAATGAGAACATTTTTTTTTGTAAATAGGATAATATCCTATGCAGATGATATTGTAGTAATCTCGAAAAGTATTGAAGAGACCAAGAAGCTACTTTATCTAATTGAGACAGTGAACTATAGAGTTGGACTTAGGATCAACTTTAACAAAACAGTTATTCTTCCCTCCCCAAACGCGCCTTCAATTCAAGATTTTACAGTTAGAGAGAATACAGTAAAAATTGTAGAGAAAATAAAATACTTAGGTGTAATCTTAGATAATAAAGGAAGTTGTAAAGATGAGATGAAGACGAGAATACAGAAAGCTAGAGGTGCGTTCTATAGATATATGAAAATATGGAAAGCTAGGGAAATCTCAGTATTTACTAGATTGAGGATATTCAACTCGTTGATAGTTCCAATCGTATTATATGGTGGGGATATCTGGGAGGCAAATAAAACAGAGATAAGGCGTCTTCAATCTTTTATAAATAATTGTCTTCGCACTATACACGGGATTTCCTATCTAAGGGTTATCTCAAACTCGAATCTTTGGAGGAAGTCTACTCACACACCAGTGAATATTACTCTTAAAAAACGATGGATTCAGTTCTTAGGGCCACATAATAAGAAATTCAGATAATAACTTAGTCCATGATGCCATAACATGGCTGTACTCATACAATGGAAAACAATACACAAAATACAAAACATTATGGTATTATAAAACAATAAAAGATATAATGGACTTAAACGTGAACATAACAATTCATTAAACTAAATAACAATAAATAGATCCATTAAAAAGCTGTTTCGCATCAAGAATAGTTACCTCTAATATGAATAAAAATACATCTCAGAATTCAAGGTTCACTATAATTATTCAATAATCCCAATCTTAAATCCCTATTGTAATAAATTTCAAAAATTTAAACTCATTATTATCAAATATTTCCAATATCAACAGACATTCATATCCTCTTATAAATTCCTTTGCATTTCCTTACTAAAAGTTGTTCTAATATAATAAAGATTTTTTATTTAAAATTGTCCTCAACCCACCATAATGTAATTAACTTTCACTGTAGTTCTTGGGTATAGCCTTTTTTTTTGTCCCACTCCCTTTTAAATAAGCCTATAGAGGTTTAAGTAATGTTTTTCGAAATGTTACGCCTACAAGTACGTGCGGCTTGCCCACAAACGTGTATGGGCTCCCCATATTTTGCCTTTTATACCCAAATTAAATTAGATCCAATAAGATGGAAATGAGGAAAACCTAGCGTAGCTCTGTTGCATTTCAACACTAGAGGGCATAAGCGCTATATATCACGTATCACGTATATTACATATATCGTATTGAAGGGGGGAGGATATGGTAGCGGTTTCGCGATCTCTCAATTTTTGTATCATTTACTTACAGCGGATTCTTTATTAATCGAAAAATAATAATTTGACCGGAAATATATTCCGATATTGTAGAATACCGTCCACTATAACATAGCGGTACCGTCCACTATGTCAAAACGGGTAGATATCGTTGTATAGGATCTATATATTAGTGAAAAATACTTGACGCACGCTCACGCTTCCTTCAACTCCTGGTGAGTGACGAAATTGCGCCTCGCGTAATTTCTGGCGTTGTTAATGGATGAATTTACCCATAATTTTTGTTGAACGGCTCCATTTTCTATACTCAAATATTTTTTATCCAGAAAAATATTAGGCAAAGTCCAAAGAATTTTCTCTCATATTGATGGCACAAAGGATTTGAGAACATCTATTAGAAGAAATACAGAAATTTCGTGGAATATTTTTCTGGGCTAAGATGATGAGTCTAACTGTTTTGAAAAAAAGCGCTGTTTAACAAACGCTTACCTCACCCTATAAACCTCAGACAATTCTGGCCATTTAATCTTTGTGTGATGAAAAGTCTATCATGAAAAAGGATGTATAAATTGAAAATATTTCAGCGGTTCTAGACAAGATTATCGGAAATTAGTAATAGCGCGGGTTATTTATTCTATTCGTATCGTAAATACATTTACGGTCCAAATCGAATTTTTATAATTTTTTAGTCAAATTTAAAATTCGCTCTCAAGTATAAATGATATCAAAACTGAGAGTTCCCATCCACTTATTATTACTTTAAAATATAGAGATTTATCGCAGAGCTAGCTATCTTTCTAAACCTTTGCCCGCTTAAACGGCGCGAACGTTAGAGCCGCTCTGCTGATATGGTCTTAATCTTAGAGAAAAAAAAATTATGGAAAAAATAAAAAAAAATTTATTCGCAAAAAATGTCTGAAATTTATAAGGGGGTGGTAACTGTGAAAAAATAAAATTTATTCTCTTGGAAAGTGGAAGAGATTAATTATTGAAAAATGGGATAAATGCCTCACTCCCCCTCTACAGATATAGCGCTGGGTTATCGCATTCAAGGATAAATTTCGGTAAAATCGAAATTAAGAAAAATATTTCAAATTGTAGACTATTCTGTTTTAACTATAGTGTTTGTTAAAAGGCTCGATTTTGAGCAGATTTTTAAAAAAAATAAGGCTAACTCCTCAACATTACAGCCAGGAAAATGTTGCCCTAAGGGTCGAGATTTCGACACAATTGATGTTTAATCCTATGTGCCACTTATGGGGAAAATCTTTAGGGCTGCGTATATATTTTTGGCTCAAAATTGAGCCGTTTAACAACACTAGTGTTAACCCCTATTTCCAACTTACAGATTCCCACGGATGGGGTATGATGGACCTTATTTAGAGATAATTGGTAATTTCTTTCCCCTATTTTAAATCTCGATAAAAATTGTGTTTAAAAATATAATTAAAATATAAGCTTCTTCTTTACCCATAATTTTATAGTGAGGAATTCAAAGAAATATCAATATGGAATGGATTATTTCAACCAGAAATCTTTTTTAGAGCCGTCGATACTATTTAATATAATATTTTTATGTAGTAATTTTATATATTTCTAACATATTTTTTATATAGTTTTGTTTTAATATTTTAGTTTTGTTTTATCATTTTTTTAAAAAAATTATCAAAAATAAAAATTGTCAGCTTAACTTTTAATTTAATAATTGCAAAATTTTTTTTAAAAAAATTAAAATTAATTTGGAAAATAATTATAAAAAATATTCTTCCCTTTTCACGGCTTAATAATTTTTTGTTATTTTTTTAAATTTCGTGCAAAAAAAAACACACAGACCTTGGTAAATTAAAAAAAAAAAATTTAAAAATAAATATTATAAAATTATAAATTATTTACCTATCCTATCAATAAAAATTTAATTTTAAGTTAGATTATTATTTTTTTTCAGTGATAAAAATTTTTCTTATAATATTTTAGAAATTATTAGGATATAGTTGGATTCTTGATAAGAGATCTAATAATTGTAATACTTGTTCGTGGCTTAATATTTTTTTAAAAAAATTCGGGCCGGGCCTTAAATTTTTTTTTAAAATATGTATTAATTTTATCAATTTTATTTTGAATTTTTTTTATGTAATAATAAAAATATTTGATTTTATTTATAAAAGCTAGACGCCGTATAACATAATTATCGTTCATTATTTTGAGTAATTATAAAAATTTTTTCTATATTTAAGTAAATTCGGGCCGAGCTGGGCTGGTATATTATTTTTAAAAATATTTGGGATTCGGGCCGGGTCGGGCATAACTTTTTGAACCGGGCCGGGTCGGGCTTGAAAATTAGGCACGATGCAGATCACCAATTGTAAAATAGTTTCAGGATTTTTCTAAAGTATTCAAAACTATGAATAACCGCAAAATCTATAAATGTTTCAGCTGTTAGAACTGATAATTTTGTTGAAATTTTTCCTGTAACTAAAATTACGCATCCCAACCACGAGGTTGCCCATACCATATACAATTAAAAATATATATCATTTATCCTTCACCTTACATATTATTTTGAGTTTATCATGCGTCTCGCAGTTTTTTTTATCTCATTATTATATTCAATGACAACTCTTGTTTTTATGGGGTTCACTTTAATTTTCCGATTCATAAATAATTTATATCTGAGCATCGACATGGGAAAAAATTCAGTGATTTTATTTTTCATTATCCAATTTCATGATTTATAAGAAACGTAATTTAGTATTTTATTGTGTTAGAAATTCAATTTTAAATAATATTTCTTTCTTTCTTTTCTTTCTTTCTTTTCTTTCTTTCTTTCTTTCTTTCTTTCTTTCTTTCTTTCTTTTCTTTCTTTCTTTCTTTCTTTCTTTCTTTCTTTCTCTTTCTTTCTTTCTTTCTTTCTTTCTTTCTTTCTTTCTTTCTTTCTTTCTTTCTTTCTTTCTTTCTTTCTCTTTCTTTCTTTCTTTCTTTCTTTCTTTCTTTCTTTCTTTCTTTCTTTCTTTCTTTCTTTCTTTCTTTCTTTCTTTCTTTCTTTCTTTCTTTCTTTCTTTCTTTCTTTCTTTCTTTCTTTCTTTCTTTCTTTCTTTCTTTCTTTCTTTCTTTCTTTCTTTCTTTCTTTCTTTCTTTCTTTCTTTCTTTCTTTCTCTCTCTCTTTCTTTCTTTCTTGCGTTCAAATTTAAGTTAAGATAGCCAAACTTCGGTAACTGTAAAGATCCGTTATTTATTTTATTGTATCCTTAAAAATGCTTATAAATAAAAATTAAGTGATACAAGGATCAAGATATAATTCTGTTTAAATATAATTTTAATTTTTAAAAAATTTGGGGAAACACCCTAACCCTAACCCGTTAAACGACTCGTTTTGAGCCAATTTTTAAAAACCGGGCTAACTCAGTATTTTAGCCGGAAAAATATTGTCTAAGCACCACCAGATTTCTTTGATAAAGAAAAATCTTCAGGCCTGCGTAATATCATTCTGGATGAAATATTGAGTTAGACACCATAATCATTCCAAGGTCCGTATTTTTTTTTTCTAGTGCTAACATGTTCATCTTCTTTTTGGTAAATATCTCTTATTTTGAAATAAATATATTTTAAATTTTAAACATTTAAATTAAAGAATGTTTTTCAAGTTTTTTTTGTATTTAGTAATCGTTTTCTTCCTTTTTAAAACCACTTTTCAACATAATATAATTAATAACTTTTTTGATACTATATAACTATTTCCGCATAATTATTTTTAAAGTTTTTTTTTTTGAAATTGATTATATCATATTACATGTAAAAAAAAAAGAAGTTATAAGTTATATAATATTCACAAAAATAATTATAATAGGTAATTAATTCATCTTAAAGTAAACAATTGAGAAGATTAAATTAAGTTGATCAGTCTTTACACTTATCCTTCCATGTAAAAAAATTTAAAAACCCCTTTCCAAGTAGAATCCCATGCTATCCTTAGAAATTATGGGTAAATGATTCATAGACTTCTGAAGATGACTAGTGTTGTTTGCTAATATTCTGGGTCCTAATTGGCTTAGCCGCCATGGATCACATGACACAATAGGCTACATGATTCGACTCAGTCTATTTAGATGAGTTATCGATTATAACACCAGCGAATTACGAATCTTATAAGGGTAATCGTTAAGATTAATTTATTTAAAGGATTTTATGAATTTATCACGATGGTTCTCTCTTCATATGAAAAGTGGCTGCAACTGCAAATAATGGAATGTGGAAATTAAAAATTTATTAAATTATATTTTTAATTGTATATGTTTTTAGAGGAGTCAAAATTGGCAAACAAGACTTTCAATTTATTTATAATAAATTAACATCACAACTAGAACTCACTCGCATATATAACAAAGACGTTTTAAAATTTAAATCATCCCTTCCACCTTACCACATAAACATCATTCACAAACGACGTCGTTATTTTTTTTTGATCTTTATCCTCGTTATCCATTTCATCTTGGGCTTTCTCGTCATAAATTAATCAGTGGATTTTAAAAATTTTATCGCAGCCGAACATTTACAGCCATTTAAAATCTAACTAGAATATTTATATTCGAACATTTTTTTTATTTCGCCACCAGAAAGTTAAATGACAATAATAATAATAAATTTTGTTTCTTTCTATTTGATATAAATAAACATACAAATCTCTTCAATATCGATAGTAATCATTTAAGATGTTACACTAAGGAATTTAAACTAATAATAAGCCACCTCCCACCACCCCTAAAAAATAATTGAATTATAACTGAAGTAAGTTCTCGGGTATAGGCTTTTAATTTTACCCAACTCTTCACTTCTTAGCCTATGGTGGACATTTAAATAACAGTTTCCGGACAATTGTGCTTACAGTCAGACTGGCCCACAAACGTGTGTAGGGCTCCTCATTTTTTCTTCTACCCCCTAAATTCAACATCCAATTTGATTGATTATGAGGAAAAGCTAGCTTAGCTATGGTTGCATGCCAACTAGAGGGTTTGGATATGATATCATATATCATATAATTATTTAAGGTGTAAGTGGAAGTTTTCCCAAAAAAAAAACAAACAATAATCAGCTGTTATGCAGCATAATACTAGAAATATTTTTTGAGGTTTATCTTCTAAATTTCTAATAACTTACATTGATTAAAATTATTCAAATTATTGATTCATTTTAGATGTCATTTATATGCAATCAATAATATTGAAACATACGAAACTACATTTACAAATATTAATACATTTAATCAGGCTAACTTAATCATTTTTGAATTTGTAATTTTAACAACTTACATTAAATATTAATGAAAAAAATTAACCTAATATTGCATTATTATGCAACTACATATATAATTGTATAATTAAAACATTTATAATTTTAAATAAAACCAACTTAATGTAGAATTTTATGTGACAAAAATTATATCGTTTCAAATTTGTATAACAAGTTATATATGTATATATCTCCTAATGGAAATATTGTTTAGCAGCAAAATATGAAAATTATTTAATTATTTTAGATTATCATTCTTAATGCAATCAGTATCAATGAAAAGAAATAATTTAACATTACATTCTTATGCAACAAAATGTCTAATTACATAATATTTCAAAATATTAATTATCTGGCCAATCTGTATTTTTTTTTAAAAAATTTATATGGAAAAGGGATGTTAAATTTTAAAAAAATATATCAGGAGTTCTAAGACAAAAATAATCTGAAATTAATAGTGCAGGGTTGTTCTATACTTGTTTGAATAAAAGAGAAGAGAAAGAAGAGAAGAGAAGAAGAAGAAGAGAAGAGAGAGAGAAGAGAAGAGAAAAGAAGAGAAGAGCGAATCTTTTTTTCTCCTCCAAATTTAAAATTCGATCTCAAGTGTATAAATGATTTAAAATTGAACGATTCCGTACACTTTCTAGTTTAAAAAAAAAATATAGAGATTATTGTGGAATGCAATTTTTCCTTGTTCTTTCTAATTTCGCCCTAATCAGCTCGCTATCTTTTTAACCCTGTCCGCTTGAACGACGCTAACGCTAGAGCGCTCAGCTGATATGGACTCAGGTCTTTAGAAAAATTTTACGAAAACAAAATAAATTAATATAAATATATTTCCTTTTTTTTTTAAAAAAAAAGAAAAGTTTGTTACAACAATGTCTATAAGGCTGCATTCAAAGTGGAGATGGATCTGTTTTTTTACATCCGTTCCGTCAAAAGTCATTCTCATTAAAAAATGATATAATATGTTCAAAGTGCGTCCGTTCCGCGATACCTTCCGTCTTAAAAATGGATCCGGCAAAATTTTATTTGGCGGAACGGAAATTTTGTTAAAATTGTTAAGAAAAAAATAATTTTCCAAATATATAATTATTCTTAATATTTAAAAAAAAAAAAAATTATTTAAGAAAAAAATATTTATAAATTATTAAATTATAAATATTTAGAATTTATATAAAACAATTTGAAATTATTTAAAAAGTATTCGATATCTTTCCATGTATAACTTTTAAAATATGTTTTTTATTTTAAATTTTGTTTCCACGTCTACTTTGAAATTTTTTTTTAATTTAATCCATTTTTAAAAATTAATTTCGACCAATCAAATAGAATGATTTAATCATTCTATCGGTTCTTAACCCATATTTTTAACTTACAAGAGAAGAGAAGGGAAAGCTATGAACCTTATTTAGAAATAATTGGTAATTCTTTTCCCTATTTTAAATCTCGATAAATTGTGTCTAAAACAATATTAAATATCAGCTTTTTACCCATAATTTTGTAATAAGGAATTCGAAGAAAAATCAATTTGGAATGGATCATTTTCAAATCAGAATGAAATTTCTAAAAGAAAAATTATTGCAAATTTATTTTAAAAATAAAAATTAATTTGGAAAATAATTATAAAAAATATTCTTCCCTTTATCACGGCTTAAATAATTTTTTGTTATTTTTCAAATTTCGTGCAACAAATAAAAAAAAAACACGCACAGACCTTGGTAAATTAAGATAAATAATAATAATACAATAATATTAAAAATTATTTACCTATATAATTTGTACACAGTGTAAAAATTTAAAATTTTAGATATATTTTTTTTTTCAGTGATAAAAATTTTTGTTCTTTGCGGGTTAATAATAAAAAATTATAAAATATAGTTGGATTCTTGATGAGAGATTCTAATAATTTCAGGATTTTTTTAACTGCAAAATCTATAAAAGTCCCAGCTGTTGGACTGATTAATTCTGTTAAAATATATTTTTTTTCCTATATCTAAAATTTATGAATGCCAACTCATGAGGTTAACTCCCTTCCCCTGGCCCTCTCTCAAAATTTAAAAAAATAACTTAAGCCTTCCTTTCCTTCCTTCCTTCCTTCCTTTTGCTCGTAGATGGCACAGAGGTTTGGACATCTATTAGCGAAATCTCAAGACTTTGGCTATATTTCACTGGCTAAAAATCGGCTCAAATAGTGCCATTTAGCAACACTAGATAAGTTGTATTAGAAGGGTGCTGAGAAGTTCCATGGGCTTGGGAAAATCTGAATTGATGGTAAATTTCATTTACTATTTGTGCCTATCCTTACAAGATCCCACGAGGGATTAATCAATATTTCTTTATCTAAACCTGTTTAATAAATGTATACCTATCTTACAAATAAGAATTTTTCCTTTTATTAAAAGAATTATTTATGATTTTTTAGTTTAAAATAAATTAATTAGGAAAATGACATTTTTTGTTGTTGTTTTATTTGCTATTATTTTTCTTTTTTCTTTTACTTTTCAACTCGTTTTTTCTTTTTTAAAGTTTACATTTTATTTATAAACTTTTTGTTTATTTTTTGCATATTCAAGAAAAAAATAGTAATTTTGTCTTAAATTTTTTTTTTGGTTTACGGTTGCCATTAAATTTTTATCAGAGACCTGCAGGCCCGGCCCTAAGCCCGGATTTAGGGTCGGGCCGGGTTTTATTTTATTTAAAAAAATCCGGGCCGGGCCGTGAAAAATTTTTGAAAAAAAAACCGGGCCGGGCCGGGTTTTATTTTATTTAAAAAAATCCGGGCCGGGCCGTTAAAAATTTTTGAAAAAAAAACCGGGCCGGGCGAATTGTACCTCTTGAGGTCTCTGATTTTAATAAAATCGTCAAATTTTTGGTTTTATCTTCTCCTCCACAAAATAAATTGCCTCAGTATTGCTTCTGCCTTGAGATCGCTTCCCGACAGCGCCTCGCATAGCTAGCTAGAGGGAATACACTCAGGGAAAACATTCTCCTCCTATTAACCTCATCCCCCCCCCCCCCCCTAAAATGTATTGGGAACAAATGATTATTTGGTTTAATCGAATTATACGCAGATAATTAGGCTCTGTAACCCTGTTAATTGTCTTCATTGCTATCCTTAATCACCGAGGCCTCTGATTACGCGTTTCGGCAATGAGAAACCGGTTAGTATCTATTCGATTATACAAACGACAACCGGTTTAACCGGCAGACATTAATCGGTAAGTGATTTGATTCGATAAAATTTTAAACAAAGGATTTATATGTATCTATTCGTTCACATATTAATCTCTTAACACAATATCTAATGTTATAACAACGTTTAGTCTACCCCACGTTTTCTCGCAAGTCAGCAAAATTCAAATAGATATTTGTGGTCACGTTTCTGCCCTGCCATCAAAACATATGTTAATGATAGGTACTTCCTTTTTCATTTTGGATAGGTACTGTTAATATTTATAATATATATTTCAAAAATCGTGATTTTTGGAAAGCGTCTATGGCCCGGTCGGCAAGAGGGTCGTCTCTAATCCGATGGTTATGAGTTCGAATCCCAGCGAATATCATGTTTTTTTTTCTTAATCTAACCTGGTGACTCCTTGGGTGGATGATATATAGGGGGTCGGACTCGACCACGTGATTCCGTTATAATATATGTTAAATAATTAAAGGGGTCTTATTACATTTTAATAAATTTTGGTCGGTATTTAGCAAATTAGGTTGTTGTTATTTATGAAATCGCTATACGTGACTTGGCAATATCTATCACCAACCCATAATATATTTATTTATAATTAGGGCCAGCTATAAGTATACAATTGATTATACTTATGTAAATTTTTTAAAAAAAATTGTAATTTTATTCAAACCATTTTATAAGTGACATCTTTTTTTAAAATTGACTTTCGGACAATAGGCCAAGATGGTTTCTTACAAATAAATTTAGTCCTACTGTCACCCTGTCAATCACCAATATTCGGTATATCAATATATAGTCATCTCTTGATATTATTATAAGCGAAATTAAGAAAAATTCGTTGATATAATAATTATATTTTTATTACAAAAAAAAAATCAAATCACTTAAGTTACAAAATATTAAAAAAAATTTTAAAAAAAGAAATGTATCTGTATCTGCAACGAATAAATAAATGCGAAGATAAATAAATTTATGTGGAGTAAAATGCGGAATCCGAGGATACGAGCGATATAGACTTTGTCACGAAATTTAAATCGCGGCAAAGTACCGGAAGTCCATCATTAACTAGGGGCACCCCCAGGTCACTACCGGAAAGGGACCGGTTAGAATATGAGTAATTTTCTGGAAGGTTAGAATTTTTGGTTATAATTACACCATCATCATCAGTTATCAACATCTTAGAGGACGATATCCTAGATACTGAATTAATCTTACGGTCATCCTCGATTACATTATTATTATTATCATCATCGACATCTTTCAAAGTATTAACTTTCACCTTTTCTATTTGTTCAATATGTTTAGAATACTCACTTTCGAGCAATTTAGGATTACTATCAGGAACGTTAGGAATTTCGTCAGACTCCGATAAACTTCTGTAGTAATTGTAGGTATCGTACTGAGAATCGGTTTCATCACTGAGCCGATTTTTGCTTATAATATCCGATATTCTCTTGGAACAATTATTAAAATTAGGTCTTCCCTCTGGGTCCTTGCTCCAGCATTCTAACATCAAATCGTATCTAAAAACAAAGGATTAATTTAAAGATAATCAAATTATGAAAAAATTTTTAAGAACATTTTTTTTAATAGAGAATGAATTTAAATTTTAGCTCCTTCTTCTTACCCTTGAATTTATAGTGGCGCGATTGCGATCACGATTTAACAGCTGATCGATTTAACAGCTGATAGATTTAACAGCTGATCGATTTTTAAAATCTGTTGAGACCAATTTTTTATTTATTAATATTAATTTTATCTTTAATTCAATTCATAATAATAATCTAAGAAATACTGATTTTAATACAGAAAAATTGATATCATTAAACAGATTTTTAAAAACTCTGTTAAATCGCGAACGCCACTATGAATTCAAGGTAACGCGTTGATTTTAGATAATCGTTCGAATCAAAAGGGATGTTTAATTGAGTGAAATTTTTTGATTGGTTGAAATATATTTAAAATTATGATGAAGATAATGGTATAATTTTAGTCGCTAAAACTTTTTTCACGCTAGATATTTTCTTCTTTGGATATCTCTTTTCACGTAAGCGTTTTATTTTAATGGGAGATTCCCCAATTGATTGTAGGGATATATTAATGTTTTCAATTGCCTCTTGATTAACTATATGAGGAGGAGAATCAATATCATTGTCATTATAAGGAAGCTTTGCTAATTTTTGTCGACATGAAGAGCATATTAGCATATTTAAATTGATTGGTAAATTTTTTTTGGTCATCCAAGGTTGAATCTTTCTTAGATTCTTGCGATAATATGCATGTTTTTGTAAATTAAATGGGTTACAATATCTTGATATTTTAATATTTGGTATATCCATCTTTTATACAGAATAAAATTTTATTTAATTTGAACCTAGAATATGGCTTGTTTAAAATTAATCTGATCGGAAAAAAAAAATTATATTAAACAGAAAGAGAGATTGTTTTAAACTTTTAATTTTTTAAAATAATTATTATCCTAAAATATAATCGATAATATGTCTAATATAAATTCTTTTCTAATGCAGCTGTTATACATTATCGTGTCAAAAAGTTATTCGCTATTATAGTAGTAAAGCAGAGATCTAAAATATGTAAAAAAATTTAAAGATGGTGGGGGGGGGGAGCAGAACTGGAAAATTTTATCGCATTTCTTATAAACCTATAAATATTTTCATTTTTAGGAAATAATATTTTCTTAAACATTAGCGCCATCTATATTTTTTTACGATTTTTGATAAAAATGTATATTTTGGAAGAGTCGATAGGCGTCGCCAAGGTTTTGACATCATACATACATTTATAAAAAGGTGTCTAAATAAAAAGCAATAAAAAAATTTCGAAAACAAACTCCCTTTTTTGCTTAAAAATACAGGTAAAGCATTATAGGTAAACCGGAAGTTAAAGACTCAAATTGGCTCCAATTTTTATTTTATTTTGATAGTCCTTTCGAGATTTATTTTACCTACAATATGATATATTATATTATATTTTACTTTAAATAGTTCTTGAGATATAAGCATTTTAAAAATTTTACAGATTCCAAATTGGCTCTTTTTTGTACCTATAGGCCCCTATATCTCAAGAACCAGGTGTGCTAGCGAGCTAAAATAAACGGCTTTCTCTTTTATTTCCCCTTCTAAATAATTCCAGAAAATTTTAACAATTTTAAAAGGGGTCGGTCGAAAATGGGCCTTTTTTGATTGATTTATGAAAGTAAGAAATTAATTTTTAAAAAATAAGGTTTTTAGATGTTAGATATTTTTTTTATTAAAATAACCGGTCTCAAACCTAACTAGTCACGTGATTATAAATAGCTAAATAAAAAAAATAAATTAGCTGCCGTTATAACGGCAATTTTTCCTAAATCGTTTAAATTTTATTTTATTTAAATGGAATAAATTTCTTATATTACCCACCTAAATTTAGAAATCGTGTCCTAAATATCAAAAACTCAAATTCACAAACTTTCGAATCTTTAACGAAATTAAATAAATAAACTAATTTAAAATACAAAAATAAAACACTAGATGCAAACATAAATCTCAGAATATTTTATAAATTTTTTTTAAAAAAAAAATTAACATATTTTTTCATTAAAATTTGTGAAAGTTTTGAAACTCCTTAGAATTTTTTTTTTAAAATAAAAGATTTAGGACACAGCTATGTTAAGTATATTTATTTTTTTAAAAAAAGGAATTTAGAACATCTCCTCCGGACAATAGGTAGGTTTTTCGAGTCTCAGTCCATTCATAAGTTTGCTAACGAAATCCGGGCCTAGTTCCACGCCGGGGTAAGGTGAACAGCCTAACGAGTATATCTCCCACAAGACGACCCCGTATGACCATCTATAAAGAAATGCAAAAAATTTTTCTATATATATATATATATAAGAATTAAAATTAAAAAAAATGAAAATATATAAAATAGAGTGCTAATATAACATATACGATTCTAACTTATGGGAGCTATTACTTCAGAATGAACTGAAGACTCAGAAAGTTAAATTGGAGAAGCCATTTTTTTTTCCTACTTTAAGTAGAAAAGCCCTCATTGGGGTTAGCATTGATAAGAATATAAAATAGAAATTACAACGAGTTTATCACTAATTTGAACAATTTTATGGGTCCTTTAGAAAAAATTATATGGTTATGCTTCGTTTACCCCAGGTTAAAAAAAAATTATTTTGAATTTTAAATCATTTATAAAAAGCGCTTTTTTTAATAAAAAAAATTTGAGTTTTAATTATAAAAAATTTTTTTAAATTATACCTTTAAAATTTACATTTATTTTTTTTGGATAATTATAGATCAATCCATAATAAATTTTGAAATATTTCGCGGCAAAAAGATTTATTTGAACAATGCTGGATTATGATTCCCCCCAAAAAATCGGAAATTTCTTCAATATAGCTCAAAAAACCGTCTAAATTATTTTATTTTTTTATAATCTATCCTGCTAAATATAAACATAGTATTCATGTTTGATTTTTATCTAATACATTTTCATGTCCCTCTAATGTATATGCAATAATAATATATATTTTTTTTGACTCTTTCAAAAACTAACAGTATATCAATGACATATATAAAACCTGTACATCAATGCAAATCAGCTGGAGACGCCATCTTGGTTACACTAATCATTATTAAAATTTTAAAACGAGAGCCTAATTTATTCCTATATCTGATGCGAACTTTATTAAAGAATTACCGGATCATCGAGATAAAAGGAAGCAAGTTATCAATCTAATAGTAGTTTTTAACATGAGAATAATTACTATATGTGTTACCATAATGGCTGGTCCAGCTGATTTGCTTTTTAACGACTTAAAAATGCATTTTAATGAATGAATGGTCAGTCTAGGTATTATATGTCATTGCTGTATATACAAAAATGTGAGCATTAAAAAGCAAAGAAAGATTAAAATATAATTCGTAAATTTTATACATGTCAGTTTGATGATTGTACAAGTTGTCTATCAGAGATTCGATGGCCATCCACTTGATAGGAACGGGTGTCTGTATCAGTTTTTTCCAAAGATGTAAAAGATGAGATAACATTTATTAATAAAAATATTAGTAATTTTTTTTTTAAAGATTAAATAAGGCTTGGATTTGGATAAGTGAATGATAAACTAAAAATTTGAAGGAAGGCATTATTTTATTTTTAAAGAATTATCATAATTTATTGGAATAATAAGCAATAAGTGTATATTGTACATCTAGTGGTTGTTACATCACCTAACTTTAGCCAATTCCAATAAAGCTTAGCCAATCTTTTAACCCTAAAAAAAAATTGATTAGAAACCTTTAATTTTTGAAAAACCTAAACTCAAATATCGGAACTAATTCTTTAGGGATAAAAACTTGACAGAGTTGGAATTGGTCAAAGTTAGATGATTTAAAATAAACATTACATACATCTGTTGTTTTGACGTAATTGGGATAACGATACAAATCTTTGGAAAGCCCAAAATCGCAAATTTTGACGATATTATCGTGGTCTAATAGCACGTTTCGACACGCCAAATCCCTATGAATGCACTTTATATAAACGCAATATTTCATTGATGTATATATAATCGATTATAGGAAATATATAAATTTTGCGCGAAACTGTTCATATGTAGGAAATGAAGTTGAATTTCTAAGGGTATTTTTATTCGTAAAAATATCGTGTCAAAAATTGTATCGTTTTAAGCGTTGTAGTAAAATTATTATTTTTTAAAATGAAGTTCAAAATAGTGTTGTTAAATGGGCTCGTTATTTCATCCAGAAATATACATTAGGCAAGCCTGAAGATTTTGCTTATAGAAGGAACCAAGATCTAAGGCTTTAAGCCGTATCAAAGGATCGGATCGAAATGGAGCCGTTTAACAGTACTAGGTAAAAACAATATTATGCTTACAAGTTTAAAAAAAAAGAAGAAGATATTTCTAGAAATTTTATTATTGTCCGCAAAGTAAAATTGCTATATTACCAAATATCAGAGTTGTTAAAGGATCTAGATACAAGTATCTAGACCCTGTATCTAGATATTAAAATGTGGTATCTGTATAGATTTTTGATTAAAATATCTGTATCTAGATATTATTTTAAACGATGTATTTGTATCTAGATCCATTGAAAAAGTATCTTTTAACAAATCTGCTAAATATAATGAATACTAAAAATTAAATTCTACGAAGTTCGAAGTCTCGAATATTACGGTTATTTTTTTTTGACATTTATATAATTTTAAATTTTAATGCATATATTTCGATGACAGTTTTTTCTTTTCTTCTTTCTTTATTTAGTTTTTAGTAAATTTTTTAAAAATAAACTCTAATTAATTTTTTAAATTTTCGAGTATTTAAAACAAACAAAAAAATAAATAAATAATATAAAAGTAACAACGTTACACGAAATAGAGTCATCTGACGATGCATTCATTAAACAACGTGTACTACGTCAATGAAAAACAGCTGGGGACGCCATTTTGATCATATCATTATTTAAAAAATTTTGAACGAGAAGCCCGACGCAAACTTTATTGAAGAAATGCCTGATCATCGAGATAATAAAGAAGCAAGTTATCGATTTAATGCGTAGTTATCGTATGGGTTACCAAAATGGCGGCTCCAGCTGATTTGCTATTTCGACGACGCTTTCAAATGCATTATTATGAATGAATGTATCGTCCAGTCCTAGGTATTATTAACATGGTCATTTCGAAAGTATAAATAAATATTACATTTTTGGATATCAAGTATTCCATCCCTTTAGAAATTTGGTAGGCGTAACACAAAAGTGTCTCGACGGTGATATCTCGTCCAGTTTTGCATTCGCAAAGAGGAGCGTTAATATCGCTCCTAGCAATCGGTTCGTCGTCAAACATTCGAGATGATTCCTGGCATTCCAAAAAACTTGCCCCGCTTCTCGAACAACTTATCATCTTACGACTATAATCGTAAGGTGGTTTAACGTCATCTTCCTTGGTCGGATAACTTTTACTATGATCGGCGGCAGCGCCACTGGAATAGCCGCTGACCCGTAATTCGCAATACCCTTCGTTGTCGGCAAAAACGGGCTCCAATTTTTGCTTACCAAGCAAAGTTTCGCAGTCGATGTTCGCGGCTGTGTAAATAAATAAATATAATATTAAAATCTGTAGGCCGAAACCCTAAATTTGAAGCGTATTCTTAAGGGCCTCGGTAGAAATTACCATTGTTAACAGGCCCTTATGCCCAATCGCTTAAATTAGGGTGCGGGCCTATGTAATATATATTGCTCTGAGTTTCGTAGATTTTGATTGAAGAAGACTAACTCAAACCTTTAGACTGGAACGAGACGCGGCGTTTTCTCAAGTGATCCTTAAGATTCCCGTGAGCGCAGAATTCCATCAACACCATAAAAATGTTCGCTTTTCAGGGAGAAAAAAAATAATGTAAAAAATAAATATAATTTATTTTACAAAATTGTAACGAATAAAATTTAAATTTATTGAATATCGTTAAAAAAGGAGAATTCGATTCCCTCTTAAACCTTCGGCGATATCTTCCGAACACACGCCCATTAAATTAACCAAGTTCAAATGTTTTCCGATCGATGTCATTATCTTGAATTCGGATATGAGAGACATCAATTGGTTGGAATCCTTGGCGCTTCTCACGATCTTTACGGCGATCTTAGTTTTGTTTTCCCCCTTCACCAACCCTATGGCATCGGCTTCCATGACTTTCCCGTAGGCACCTTCGCCCAAGCATTTACCTCAACAATTTACATATAAAATAAAAAAATGTTTTAATTATCAATTTATTTATTTCAACAACTTAACTGTAGCAAAAAAAAGCACAACAAGAGATTATTTTATCTTTTTAACTATAAACTGTCATAATATTGTCGGGGTTTAAAATTTAAAAAACGGCTATAACTTCAGTATTTCACTCAGAAAAATATAACGCGAGCCCGAAGATATTGTTCTTAGTCTAGACATATAATATCGAAATCTCGAAGTATAGGCAATATTAGATCTGGCTAAAATATTGAGTTAGCAGTGTTTTTTTTTAAAAAAAATCGGCTTAAAACGCGCTGGTTTAACGACACTACTTATAAGTAATTATATTCATCTAAAAAATTTGAAACTTCTTTCTTACTTACTTTCTTTCTTTCTTTCTTCTTCCTTTTTCCTTTCGGCTAATAATTAGGGGTTTCGTGTTAAAATAAATTTTTTTTAAACCCAATTTAAAATTTTGGTTTAAAAAAATATCGATAGAAACTGTGAAAAAATGAATAATTGCCCCCCCCCCCCAAAAAAAATCAAAATATTCCATTTTAAAAGATAGAAAGCAAAAGGAAATGAATTAACAAAGAAAAATTAATTAATCGGAACAAAGTAAATTAGCGAATCAATAATTTTTTTTTTCATTTTTCTTTTTTTAGATTTCACCCTTTTCTGGTGGGTAAGCTTTCTTTCAATTTCTCTCCTCTCTCCACTTTATGTTCACTCATGCCCATCATCTTTTATCCAATTTATAATCTCTTCTCATTGGCTCTAACTTTATGGCCCCATCGAAGTTTTGGGCTTTTCTTTTTACGTTTGCCCATCACTTCCGTAACCTTATCCTATATAGTTCATCTTCTCATTGTGGTGCCCATACCCACCTAAGTCTTAATTTAAAAAAAACAATTAATCGCGCGAAAAAAACATTTTCCGCCAAATTCCTTAAAGAATTTACCTAATATGAGGCGTTCCTTAGGGAATTCCAGCGCCGCGTCGAATTCGAAATCGGACTTGTCAGGTGACAGAGAGGGAATTTTGAGCGTGTGAACGATATCGTCTTTGTCGGTTGGAGAGTTAAAATCGTAACTTTTATTCAAATTAAATCCGTCCTTTGATTTATTTTTTAAAAAAAAATGAAAAGGTTTTATTTTTAATGAATAAATTCGGGAGAATTAAAGAAATAATGTTTTGTCCAAATTAAATCCGTCTTTTTTCTTTCTTTCTTTTCTTTTCTTTTCTTCCTTCCTTTCTTCCTTCCTTCCTTTCTTCCTTCCTTTCCCTAAATTGTTATCAAGATTAGTTTATAAAAAAAAACTTTTTTATTTTTAGCGTATATTCTTTTCCGCAAAACGCATATAACGAGAGTTAACAAAATGATAGATGTTAACAGAACTACAACTAACAAGAACCAAGAGATATTGAGGTGCTGAACCGGGGAAGAATTGGTAGCCGTATAAATATCTTTTTTTAGTAATTTATCAAAAAAATAAATTTATAAAATTTGAACATTTTTATATTTTTATTCAAATAAACGATCCATAAGTAATTAATATCAACTTTCCTGCCCTACCTTTAACACATTAAACCCAATTTTTTTTAAAATACTTCTGTATAAGACGTGAGATAGTACCAACTAAAAAAAAAAGAAGAAGAGCCTTCAAAGCATTTGATATGTACCTTGTCGATCACATCATCACCAATCAGATTGATGGGTAATCAATAGAAATAACAAATGACTTATGAATCCATTGCGTTAAATTTAGAATGAATGAAAGAAAGAAAGAAAGAAAGAAAGAAAGAAAGAAAGAAAGAAAGAAAGAAAGAAAGAAAGAAAGAAAGAAAGAAAGAAAGAAAGAAAGAAAGAAAGAAAGAAAGAAAGAAAGAAAGAAAGAAAGAAAGAAAGAAAGAAAGAAAGAAAGAAAGAAAGAAAGAAAGAAAGAAAGAAAGAAAGAAAGAAAGAAAGAAAGAAAGAAAGAAAGAAAGAAAGAAAAAAAGAAAGAAAGAAAGAAAGAAAGAGACTATTTTTCATATTTCCTTACTATCCAATTTCGTTTTTTAAAATAGCCCTAATATATATAGTGTGTGTCAACAAAAAAGAGTAAAAATTGATTTTTTAAAAATATATTTATATTAAATATATCTTAATATTGGCTTGGCACCACTGTTATTATTTTTTTAACTTATAGTAGAAAGTTATATATATAAAAAAAAATATTTTAAAATCAAATTAAGTGAAATTGGAATCATATTAAAACAAAAATTTATGCCATAAGACAATACCCGTTTTAAGATCGGGTATATGAATACTCCTTTCAGCTAAGGTGGTTGAATTTTGAATGCGACATATCAGTTCTCCTCTTAGGATAGGATTCAGCTTGATCTTGCTCTCTGATATGCTGAGCTTCTTCGAGATCTTTACGATTTTGCCGGATATGATCTAAAATGTTATGATCAGAAAAACGAGATAATTAATGACTTGTAGTAGGCATTAAATTTGAAGAATTTTGGTTTCGAATGCCAAATGAAAAAATGCATCCATAAGAACAGGGATAACCACCTGTTAAGATAAAAAAAATCTTGTTAGTTATATGGCGTTTATTATTAGTTCTTAAATAAATATTTGAAAGAGTGTGAGGATGATTTTCTGGCAAATTATTGATTTTATTGATTAGAAATCTTTCTTAAAGAGTATTTATTTTTTTTTCCCATTCAGGATTAAATATATCAATTTTCTTTTAAAATCAATCAATTTATTTGCCAAATAATTTAGAAAAGAGATTATTTAGCCTTATTTTTCATCATAAATGATAAAATGTTCCGCCCCCCCCCACCCCATATTTTATTACCCAAAACAATGGCTCCGATAAACCGCGGGAATTCTGAATCTCATCGTTCTCCTTATTCCCCTCATCTTGGGTTTGGGGATATAGCGGCGCTACTACACTTTCACCGGGTTGGCAGAATTTGTTAGAAATTTTGTCGATATAATGGTGCGCGAGTCGAGTTTTATTTAGGTAACGATAATTTTCAGCGTGACTATCGCCATTTAAAAGCGTACTGTTGATGTGAGGGGAGTTTGCGCAAGAGGAATCTCTCAAATACCACGTCAGAGTGGCCGGGCTAGGATAGCCAAAAGCGCGGCAAACAAAAGTGGAAATGTTTAATGGTTCCTTCTTCCGTGGTTTGCTTTGAATGGCGAGAGGAGGATCCACTAATTCTAAATCGAAGATGAACGGCGTTACGGTAAAATTCTTGGCGGTGTTTCCAGAAACGTATCGGTCCAATTGCCTCAACGTAAGATTGGCGCCATTGCCGATAGGGATTACTCCTAGTCTTTCGTACTTTTCTAATGGATCTTTAAGTAATTTTGAATTGTTATACGATTTGAATATTTTGAGATCAGTTTCTTTTTCCTCGAGTTACCATTATCACCTCAAACGTTCTCCAAAACTTATTCACATTTAAGCCCAATAAATACTTTTTTGTTTAAAACTGTTATATCTTCTTAATACATATTTATTTATGCCTTACTACAGGTTTTAAAAATATAAAAATCTGTCCTGAGTCATGTTGTTATGCAGAATGGCAAACTCAATATTTTAGCTTTAGCCAGATAAATATTGCCTAAGCCTCGTGATTTCTCTATTAGATGGTTAGACCTTCTATGAGCAAAAATCTTAAGGCTTGCGTAATATTCATCTGTATAAGAATCGGTTCTAATAGAGCCTCAACAACACCAGTTTTGAGCATTGCCTTAAAGAGGACGATACCCAAAAATTAAAATGATGTTTAAGAATTGGCAATGTTGATGGTATAAACCGTGTAAGATGACGGAAACTTGATCTGCCCCGGTTTTCCCGTTGTGGTCTTTGACCAGACAAGTATAATTTTTCTCGTAATCTTTGGAAGCGTTCCTCACCGTGAATCTTGAGGTGACCTTTCGTTTCGACATCCCTTTCACCAAAAATGTATCGGAATTCACGGTAGAAGATATTTCTATATTCGTATCCTCCTACCAAAAAAAAGATGATAATTAAACCTCTTTAAAAAAAATAACTAACAATATCAACGGTTAAATAGCGAAGGGAGTGATTTTTGGTGAAATGTCTGGATTAGTGGATGCAAAATTTCTTTATTTGTATCTAAAAACTGCGAACTCAGTATTTTATCCAGAAAAGCATTGCGCGAGCCCTGAAGATTTTGATAACAGGTGCCACAAAGATTTGAACATCTATTAACAAAATCTCCAAGGCTCAGTGCAATATTTTTCTGTCTAAAATATTTCCGATAAAAATATTAAAGAAGTAAAAGATAAAATTTTAATATATTTTAACGTATTCTGGTCTTGTCCTGGATCGACCTATTACTAAACAGTTGCCAATTTTAAGCCGGATAAAAAGCATTAGAGGAATTTTAAATTTAAAAAAAACGAAAAAAACATCAAAAAAAACAAACGAAAAACAAATAAAACATGAAATATAATACAAAGAAAAATAATAATGATACCGAATGCTTAAAACAAACTAAAATAGGGTGTACTATTTCAAAAGCTGTTTAGTTTAAGCTATAAAATGCATATAAGTATCACTTAAGTCGAACATGGACACAGCCTATTTGGTAAATAGTGTCTTTTATACAACCTAAACAGATGATAAAAGACATTATAAAGGATATATATAAGATAGCTTTTCCCTTTCCTTTTTTTCTTCTTCTGTGATAGCACTGGCAGGTAATAGATTCTACAGAGTCTAACAAATTATCAAGATTAAGGAACATTAATTGGAAATTAACTTTATAGAAGGATCTGATATTTTTCCTAAAGCTGCACATTAGTAAGCATGGCTCTTATCCACTCCCTTAACGCTGGGATTAAAAACGCCTTACTAATTTGTTAAATAGATAAAAGTGGACATTTTTTTTTAAACTCCTATCTTTTATGATTGATCTTAAACGCTGTATCAAAGAAGTGCTCACCAGAACAAGGTTAATAAAAAAATATGTGTTGTGCTTTATGAGAAGTTCAATTTTCAATATAAACTCCCGAAATTCAAAGTTCAAACAAAAGTGTTTAAAAAAAAATGATATTAGGATTAGCCTAAACCACGGACTAATTTAATACGGAAAAAAACGCTTAAGTAAGTTTAAAAAAGATAAATTTTATTTATTTTCCGGAAAATTGCATTTTGTTATCATAATAACGAATAGAAGCAACAAATATTATTATATTATATAACGTGTTAGCTTTCAATGTGTATTTTTCCCGTACAATGTGATATTTTCTTTTCAACCCTTTAAAATCATTTTTTGAGCGCGTTTTTTTTAAAAAATTTTTAAAAATGTTTTTACCGGATATTTATTTTTTAAAAAAAAGAAGATATTTATATACTTTAATGCTTTTTTCTTGCGGCTAAACTATAAATGTCATTAAGGTATGGAATGAAATGAAATGAGGCCAAAACAATTATATTTATATTCAAGCACTTGTTAAAGTCCTAAAGATGGGTCATTTGTTATTTTTGCGTTTAGTACCTTTCCCTCGGTGAAAATTATAGAAACTTTCTTCAGGAGTTAAACGATACCCAAGCCCGGAAATATATTCTATCACGTTTGGAATAGTAGCCATATCTTATGAATAGCGGACAATTTTGCTGTTAAAACTTTGAGTACGTTTATAATTTATATAAAAAAATATGTAAAAGTTCGTGGAAAAATTGTCAGAAATTCAATAGGGTAGGTTATTCCAATCCAAACATGATGGCATACACCTTCTGGGTAAAATCAAATTTTTTAAAAAAAATTTTTAAAACGATCTCGAAGAATGATTTAAAGGTTGAAAAAATTAACACATTTCCGGAAAAAAAACACATTGACAAACTAGCATGTTATACTACAGTGTTTTGTGTAAGATTTAATTCAAAATCTGTGCAACACCACTGTATACATATATATCTATTTCTTTCTTTCTTTCTTTCTTTCTTTCTTTCTTTCTTTCTTTCTTTCTTTCTTTCTTTCTTTCTTTCTTTCTTTCTTTTTCTTTCTTTCTTTCTTTCTTTCTTTCTTTCTTTCTTTCTTTCTTTCTTTCTTTCTTTCTTTCTTTCTTTCTTTCTTTCTTTCTTTCTTTCTTTCTTTCTTTCTTTCTTTCTTTCTTTCTTTCTTTCTTTCTTTCTTTCTTTCTTTCTTTCTTTCTTTCTTTCTTTCTTTCTTTCTTTCTTTCTTTCTTTCTTTCTTTCTTTCTTTCTTTCTTTCTTTCTTTCTTTCTTTCTTTCTTTCTTTCTTTCTTTCTTTCTTTCTTTCTTTCTTTCTTTCTTTCTTTCCTTCCTTCTTTCCTTCTTTCTTTTTAAATATAAAATAGGGTATACAACTTGCCCCATAATAGGATCTAACTAGAGTGTCATTGATTTTCCAGGTAATATCGACCAAATCATCGCTATTTATCGTTACGGAACATACCATGACGAGAATGGAATGAATAGGAATTCCATCTTCGTAATTTTTTATCGAGATTTTTGGAACTGGATTCTCTGTGTCTCCTAGGAAAAAATAAAAATAAATATAAGTTTTTTAAAAAAATTAATCATCGTTAAAACTTTATGTAAAATGATAAATAAGATGGGTAGCCAATTATCTATCGTATTAAAAATAATACGGTTTTCAGATTAGAGATCTGCAAAAGTAGACCCGGGTCGGGCCTAATTTTTTTTTAAAAAAACCGGGTTCGGGCCGGGTCGGGCCTAATATTTTAAAATAAAATTCGGGTCGGGGTTGGGCCTTATCAATTTTATATTAAATTTTTTTGTGTAAAATAAAAATATTTGATTTTATTTACAGAAACTAGACGACGTAATAGTGTTGTTAGACGGCCCGGTTTGAGCCAATTTTTTTAAAAACGGCGAACTCAATATTTTATTCAGAAAAATATTATGCAAGTCTAAAGATTTTGCTCAGAGATGGAACATAGGATTGAACATCTGTTGGCGAAATCTCGACGCTTAGGATAATATTTTTCTGGCTAAAATATTGAGTCAGCTGTTTTTAAAAATCGGCTCAAATCGAGCCGTTTAACAACACTACGCCATATAACACATGTCTTTTATTTTGAGTAATTATAAAAATTTCTGGTTCGAGCAGGGGCCGGCAAAACTTTTTAGAAAAAAATTCGGGTTCGATCTCGGGCCGGCTAAATTTTTTAAAAAAAATTTCAATCCGAGCTGGGTTTGAAAAATTAGGCCCGATGCAGATCATTCTAGTTCAGATTGAGTAAAACTTGGGGGTAAAAAATATATATTTTTATATTATTTTGCAGAGTTGTTAAAGGATCTAGATACTACAAGTATCTAGATCCTGTATCTAGATATAAAAATGTGGTATCTGTATCTAGATAGATTTTTGATTAAATAATCTGTATCTAGATATAAAAATGTGGTAGATTTTTGATTAAATAATCTGTATCTAGATATTATTTTAGACGTTGTATCTGTATCTAGATCCATTTAAAAAGTATCTTTTAACAACTCTGTTATTTTGTATTAAAAATGATCTCTCAGTTATCCAAAAATGAAATATATATATACTATGTTATGTATATATTTACCTTTGTAAAGTGTCAGAAATATCCGAGTTTGAGTCAAATTGCGGTAATTAACAACGCACTCGTACCTGCTGTTAAACTTCATTCCCGGATTCTGAATAAAAAATCCTTTCCTGGGGTCGAAGGGCAATTCCGAAATATTTAAATCCATCCTCTTGGTTTTGAGTGTCACGTTAGCGGTACTGAATGTCGATTTGCAGGGTAAATATAGGGATTTCTTATTTATCAAGGTTATGTACGCTACGTTACCGCCGGGCATCTGCTCCTTTATGGGAGCTATAAGGTGAAGCGGGTCTTTATAAATTTTTTAAAATTTTATTTAGCAACCCTTGCTTAAGTTAATAATTAGCAAGTCGTATATTTTATTTATTTAGGAGATTACCTCAAAATTTATGATTTTCCTCTAAAAAAAAATATAGTAATTTCAAAATCTTTGTTTCTGAATTAATTTGTGCCACAAGGTAATATTCGAATCATCATACATTTATAATCAGTGACCCTGCTGGGAACGGCCCTGAACCTGGGAGCCCTGAACGATCGCGAAAAAAAAAGTTCTTGACAACGCCAAAAATATAATCCAAATCCTAGGCGAGACCTCCAAAATCTTGGCTTCTACGGGTCTCCGATTTATAGGTGTGCATATACTATAACTCTACCCACCTAAAGTGAGGAAGGATACATTCCGATAAGATATATTCCACTCTTAGCTCCATTCCTCACAAATGACAAATTTATTAAATAAAATAATATACCGTTCACGAAAATGTAAATAGCTTTGGAACATTTGTAAGATTTTTCTGGCTCCTTTAAGACTTGAGGGATAGACACGTTGTCCCTCTTGACGCAGCACTGATATAAACCGGTATTGACGTGCTTAGCCCTGGAGATATCGAGACGGCTAAAATATCGAGCTTTACCGGCGGATGTATCGGCCACAATTGTGTCTTGAATGATGACGTTATCGTCACCCATTAATTTGGATAAGAAATTCTGATATTAAGATACGCCAAAAAAAAATAAAATATTTTTAAATCATTATTTATGATTAAAATTAACCGTTAAGTACTAATATTTATGTTATTATGCGCATTATTATATTTTTTCTTGTGAACTTTGCGGTCCCCCACTTGCCTATTTATGGAAATGATCCTTTTTACATATATTTTTTTAACTAAATTAGTATTCTCTAATTCGAGTCACGAATTGTTCCTTGATTCAGAGTCTAAGGCTGCATATTTACGAATCCCTTTTTTTTTTTAGAAAAAATGACAGATCCTAGCCTCCTAATATGATATAAATATTATTAGTATTGAGAAAAAAAACTGCTCGTTTTGAGTCGGTTTTTAAAAAACGTCTAAAATCAATATTCTAGCCAGAAGTATGTTACCTGAGCCTTGAAATTCCGCTGATAGTTGTCCAAACCTTTGATCCATCTATGAGCAAATTCTAGATAAAATAGTGATCAAAGCCATTCTAAAAAATCGGCTTAAACCAGTCCCATTCCATCTACTCCGGGTAATTGGCAATACAAATTTGTAAAAATTTTTCAAAAATGACCTTAAAAAAATATAAATCTCGGCATCGAATATAAAAATGTGTGTAAGCAATGCGAAGGATTTACTTTTAGATTAAAATATAAATTTGGGAAAATATTATATTTTTAAGTGCAAAATTTGAATCGTGTTTAATTTAAATTTTAGCGAATTTGTTATTATCGGCTCATGCGGTATTGACAAAAATATATAAATTAATCGATATCGATGTCGGGATATACAGCCTAGCCTCAAACTAAACAAAATGTATATGTATATATGTATCTTTATGTTTTAAACATTTTTTTGTTTGTTTGTATACATTTGTTGTTTCGGGATAAATCCAAAAGTTTGGATTAGAGCCCTGACATCTCAGGTTCAAGGAAGATTTGGCAGGAATATCGAAAGAATCATCATGATTAAATTTCGTAACTGGTAAATTGGACGTTAAAATCGGAGATTCTTGAACGGAAAAATCTGTTAAAATGTAGTTTCGTGGGATTGAAATAATTAATAAACAAATCTATAATTTCCAGAGTTGTTAAAAGATACTTTTTAAATGGATCTAGATACAGATACATCGTCTAAAATAATATCTAGATACCGATATTTTAATCAAAAATCTATCTAGATACAGATACAGATACAGATACAGATACCACATTTTTATATCTAGATACAAGTATTTAGACCTTTTAACAACTCTGATAATTTCCATTAACCAAATCGTCGGGGTATAAAATAAAATATATATTTTTTTTATAACGCACTTTTATAGGATTAAAAAAAAAATCTTGAAATTTTATAATATCGCGTGTCGCGTCGCGCAGTCAGTTAAATTTTTGGTAAGCAAGATTTTTAAGCGTATATAAAATACCTAGACTGAAGATTCAAGCGTCGTTAAAAAGCAAATCAGCTGGAGCCGCCATTTTGGTAACACGTATATTAATTATTCTCATTGTTAAAAACTAACTATTAGATTGATAACTTGCTTCCTTATTATCTCGATGATCCGGTAATTCTTTAATAAAGTTTTGCATCAGAGCATAGGAATACATTAGGCTCTCGTTTTAAATTTTTTTTTACTAATGATTAGTGTAACCAAGATGGCGTCTCCAGCTGATTTGCATTTGATGTAACACTTTTAATGAATACATTGTCAGTTTCGGTATTATATATGTCATTGGGTTCTTCGTAAAGTTTTGAAAGAATATTTTTACTTTTTGTAACGGCAATGTGTGTATTTTTTTTCAACTTTAAATCATTTTTTTGAAGCGCATTTTTTTTTAAAATGCAAAAATCTCATTTTACCCGGAAATGTATATTCCATCATGTTTTGGAATATACTCACCTCACCCTACAAATTTCAGACAATTTTGCAGTGAACTTTTAGAACTTAATTAAAAATTTAGATTAAATTTTCCCAAAATTTTCACATGACTCAAAAGGTTAACAGCAAAATTGTCTGTAATTCATATGATAGGTATTCCAAACATGATGGAATGTATTTCCATGTGCCCGATTAAACACATTGACGTTAACACTCATATATATACATATATATATATGTATAGGTTCTTCTTGTTGTTTTACATCGTAATGGTTAAATAGTATACAGAAATCAGAGCCCAGTCAAAGTTAAATTCTTGTAATTTTTTTTTTCTTTCTTTCTTTTCTTTCCAACGCAGTTTATATTATGCATTTATATAACGCAAACATAAGACGTTGTAAATTTTCCGACCCTGAACTAAGAGCTAATAAAAAAAATTTTAAGAAATGTTTACCTACAAAATTATATAAATCGACTTGAAATAATCACAATTTTTGACTGACCTTTGACATAAAAAAATTTTTAAAAGAAAAAATGTTAAATTTTTTTATATTTCAAGAAATTTAAATGGCTTGCTTTAATTATTTTGTTTTTAATTGTTTTCAAAACATTATAAATAATCATTTTTTTATTAGATTTTTTGATTTTTTAAAAATAAATTATATTTAAAAAAATAAATGTAAATCACTTATTTAATAAATGAAAGAAAGAAAGAAAGAAAGTAAGGAAGAAAGAAAGCAAGGAAGAAAGAAAGTAAGGAAGAAAGAAAGAAAGAAAATGAAATATTTTTTTTTTGATAAAGAATTGATTAAATGGTTAATCTTAATTTAAGAAAATAAAATTTGATTTGGTAATAAAGCAGATTTAAAGATGGAATTCGAATTGAAAGATCGAATAATATTAAAAATTTGTTTAGCCTTAAAAAAAAAGTCAAGTTTGAAAAAAGATACTATAAGTTTGTTGGTAATACAACTACAACAACACATTTGAGATCGACATTACGCAAAATTTTTTATGGGTTAGGGGCTGGAACTTAGCAAATGTTTTTAATTGACTATATTTAGGCAAAGTACTTCCTTTTTTTCATGAAAAATTATCAAGACTGAACCGAGACATGCCTTCCATTTGCCTATTACCCGATGTTCCCTTTAGTGCAACCCTTTAAATATTCAAATGTAAAAACATATGTTAAAATATTGTATAATTTGTTTTAACTATTGTTTCGTAAATAAATAATATTGGGATTTATATTAGGGTTAGGTATTGATACTATTTGGATTCATCCTTCCACAATCCCCATTTCCCAACCTCGTAGAATTTTCCATCCTGTGCTTATCACTTCTATTGACTAAACCATATAATATTGGAAGATACTTTTTAGAGCCTCACTCCAAACTTACCCAAGAGTTTAAGCATATTATCCTTCCACCACCCCCTCTGATAATCCTGATCAACTGTCCAAGGTTAAAAATTTTAGAATAAATTAAATCCATCATTTTAAAAAGGTTCTTCTGTGATATTGCTAGCATTCTAGGTCATATACCTCATTTTTAAATGTAATGGACAAATCATATTTAATATACGTAACACGTGACAAAATTAGTTAAGTCACCAGTTAAAAAAAAATGCCTATGATCCCTTTCAAATCTGGGTTAAGGTAAACGACAAAAAAAAAGAGATGATAAATTCATATTTTATAAATTAATTTAACAAAATATTTACGCGTGTTTTTATAAAAACAAAACAAAACATAATGTGTAAGATTGGACTAACATTACTCGTACTTCGAAACGATATTATATATATATATATTTATTTACAATTTTAAGTGCGCAATCATGTTTATTTTGCTAAGTAGCAGATGAAGGGGAACTGTTAAATAGGATTCCATACTTACACCTAGGGATGTACCGATATTCTTTATCGGATCGGATCGGGCCGATATTTCGCCCATTTTATCGGTTATCGGATCCGATATAAAATGGCGTCTTATCAAAAATAAAATGTTATAAAATTATCATTTATTTTTATACGAATAAAATCGAAATCCATTTTTATGTATATTTTTTTAAAATAATAATAAATAATGATTAATATATAAAAAGTGATTTAACAATAAAAATGATTTTGTATACTTTTAGAATTGCAATTGAATTGAATTATAAACTATAACTGATCAGTATAATATGATTAAATGACATAAGTAGTTATGGTAGTATAGTTAAATTATGGATGTTATACTGATAAAAAGTAATATTAAAAATTAAAACCATTTGGTATCTTTACAGGATACAAAATCAGATATGATATCGGATCTGTAATATGCCGATATCAATTTAATATTGGAAATATCGGGTCGGATCGGCCTCCAAAAAGTAGTATCCGTACACTCCTACTTACACCGCGCGACACGTAAATACGATAGCATGAATGCGTTTTCAGAAGATTAGATATATGGCTAGGAGTGGGGAGTCAAGAATTTAATCCTAACACTAACCCCCCCCCCCATAAAAAAAAATCATAATATATTACAATAAACAAGAATCTGAAAAATTTTCATTTAGTAAAAGTTAAAATTATTTATATATTTTTTTAAAATAACGACCATAATTCCTAGAAGAAGAAAAAAGGTGAAAAAACCAAAGTTATATTTATTGTATAAAAATCTAACGTAGCCTAAGATCTACAGTAAATAGACCCTAAAGAGGTCTAATAAAATAACCAGCATAATGATACCCCGCATTCCTCTCAGGAAAATCCTGGCTAATGCCTATGTAAAATTTTAAAGCTTTCGGATATAACTTATAAATTAAATTTTAGTTAGTAAAAAAAATATATTTGTGCAATACATTATTTTAGAGGTGGGAATAGAAATGTTAAAAAAAAGCACATAAAGGCATAAAGGAAAAAGTAGTGTTGTTATAACTCAGTATTTTAGCCAGAAAAATGTTGCCTAAACCTCAAGACTTGGATAATCTATGTCTAGAACCTTTGTTCATTCTATGAGCAAAGTTTTCAGGTTTAGGTAATATTTTTCTGGATGAAATATTTAGTTAGCGGAAATCGGCTCAAAATGAGCCGCTTAACAAACATTAGGAAAAAGGAGAATAATATAAAAAAAATTTAATTTAAAAAAAACGGGTAAAAAAAACAGCGATAGAAAAACTGTTTTTTTTTATAAAAAATAATATTTAAAAAAAATGTAACAAAATTAGGAAAATTTTGAAATGCCCAAAAAATAAATTTTAAAATATAAATTTTAAATGGATTGGTGATCTAAAATTTAATATGTCATTCATCTCGGTACCTTAAGCCCGCCTTCTCAATAAAAATTTTGAAGATACCTTTCAATAATAAATTAATCAACCAATTTATAACACGATTAATCCATAATTCTCCCTAAATTTTAAATTTTTATTCATCTTCCGATTTTGACCAGACCCCTGAAAAGTTTTGAATATTCGATGAAAATGTTTTACTCCCCTAGGTTCGCCAATCGGTAGCGAAAAAAGACTGCGCAAATTTTGAGAAAACGAATTTAATAGAAAAATTCGATCAAATGAAGGGGATTGATTCTATAATATCTACTTCTCATGAAGCCTCTTACCCTAATTAAAGATTTTTTTAAAAAAAATTTCTAAAATACTGCACCCATCCTCTTCATCTCAGATCTTCACGTATACAATTATAATACTAAAAAATACAATTGATAAACCGATCTTAAAGTACAAACCACATTTACATCTAATATTCAATGGTTTAGCTCTCTATCCGATCACTAGTATCATTTAGTATATCAGATTCCCCATTGTCACTTGGAAAATTTTATGAAACCCTGGCCCACTAACACCTTGTTGATCTTATTAATTCGTTGCGCTTAGAATTTGGGGCAGAAAACGCCTCAAACAGTACATATCCTAATTCCTGCCCGCAAAATGATTGTAATTCATTGCATTCCATTGTAATCCCACTCCTGGATCCAATTTTTCGACTGTAAATATATCTTCACTTTACCCAGAAATAGGTAATGAATAGTGATTTTTAAAAGCGACTAGCTCAATATTTTAGCCAGAAAAATATTGCCTAAACCTCAGGATTTCGCTAATGTGTGTCTAGGCCTTTGTGTCATCTATGAGCAAACTCTTCAGGCTTTGTATTATTCTGAATAATATTGAGTTAGCCGTTTTTAAATCGACTCAAATCAAGCCGTTTAACATCACTAGTAATGATTGGATCAAAACATTTACAAGTTCTAACTTAGGATATTTTACTCTCAAATGAAGAAGTAAGAATATCCATTTGGTGGTCGATTAGGATGTGATATTGTAACACCTTCTGCCAGTTCACTATGTAATAGCTATATTAATTAGCCTGGATCATCATCCCCTACATTATCGATTTTCAAGAGAATAGAGCTCCTAGGCAATGCCCCGTCAATTCAATAATATCTAGTACTTTGAAGTCCAACCAATATTTTACCCTCCCTCAAATCTTCTGGCATCGGCGCCTCTACAGCAAACTAGGCCAGGTGGAATTACCTTCACCCTGGAATCAAAGTATACACACCTCTCTTGGGATTACATTTCTATAGACCGTTAATCACTTTTTCAGATAGATATACATTTTTAAGAAAAGAAAATTAAAAACAACACTCGGACCTCTGGCTAATAAGATGAATAAATGGCGCGACCCATATGCATGATTGTCGTAAGATTTTTTTATTGTGGGGGGGGGAGTGGGAAGGGGCACCCAAATCTCAACTTCCAGGGCTCGAATCAGGTTAAAAAGGAAACTAATTCCTAGGGCTAGAAAAATATTTAATGATTCATTTTTCAAATATTAATAAAAATATAAGAGTAGGAATTTTTTCATAGAAAGGATTACGATGATTATTGTTTTATCATTTTAAGATTCATACAGCTGATTATACAAAATCCCGTTTTTTCATTGGTCATTTACCATATAAAATATAGCAAATTTAAAAACAAAGGATCCAATAGTAAGAGAGAAAATTGAATTTCACCATTTTAAAAATTTCTTTTTTATTTTGTACATATTACATGATATGATATGTATATATAAAATTTTTCAAAAACAAGATTATTTTAACCTTTTATAAACATAGAAGATGTAATAAATGACGAAAATATAGCAAATTTAGATATATAGCTATATCTTAGAAAAAAAAAATTTATTTATAGATTTCATATTATTTTCAAAAATATATTATAAATTAAACTCTTAATTTTGTGACTTTTTTAACTTTATTTCTAACATTTTATTTTTAAAATTTTTAAAATTTTATAATTTTTTGACAAAGAGAATCAAAAAAGGTATTAAAAAAAAATTAAAATGTCTCAATATGTTATATATAAAAGAATATATTAATAAAATTCATGTTATAGAATGTTTATCTAAGGTTCAAATATTAATATAAATTTTTAATTTATGCTTAAAAATATCAATTGCTAAATAAAACAGATGGAAAATTTTTTTTACAAGGATGACCATGTAAAGTTTGAGCGAATCTCAAGCATAAAAAACGGTTTAAACTCATACTATTAGTGTTTTTAAACGGCTAACTCAATATTTTAACCATAAAAATGTTGGGCTATGTCTGGAGATTTCGATGATATATGTCTAGAACCTCTGTTCCTTCTATGAACAAAATTTTCAGGTTTGCGTAATATTTTTATGGAGAAAATATCGAGTTAGCCGTTTTTTAAAAATCAGCTCAATAACGAGCCGTTTAAACAACGCTTACATGCAATTGACCAAAAAAAAAATCAACATTATTCCGCATAAATTCTTTACCCAAAATTATTACGCAACTAAAAAAGATCCAGACAAAAATACGGGAAAGAATTTAGGTTGAGATCTGCATAGTTTACCAGCTGTGCTATGAAGGGCTAAAAAAAAAAATTTTTTTTTAGAATGTAAGAGATTTTGTGGTACATTTTAGGGAATTTCAGGGAATTTCAAAAGTAATGTAGAAATAAGGTAGTTTTGTTGTGGAGTAGATTTAGATTTTAAAATTTTGTACATTGTTACAAAGAATAATCGAATTTGTCGATTCAAACTAAACTTCATCCTAATTCATGGATCATTAAACCCCTGCCTACTTACCCGGACCGGGCCGTATTTTAATTTTTTTTTAAAAAACAATATTCCCAGGCAGGGGCCGGACCTTAATATTTTTTGATTTTAAATCCCGGGCCGGGTCGAGTCGGGCTGAATATTTTACCAACCAAATAAAAAAATATACGGGCCGGGTCTGAAAATATAAAAACCGGGCCGGTCTGGATATAAAAAAACCGGGCTGGGCCATTCAAATGGTAACTCTGCAGGTCTCTGACTTAAATATTGATATCCCTTTTTTTTTGTTATGTTATTCCTTTTAATATATATATATATATATTTTTTATTTTTATATTATCTCGACATATTAACATTTTTTAGGATATTATAATAATTAAGTATATTTTCGATGAAATATAACTGAATGGGTTTCTAACTAGAACAAAAACAGCTGAAGATTTGGGAAATATCGCCTTATGTCTCCTAAGAAAAAATTTTAAAAGCAGTATTAAATAGATGTTAGGAAGTATGGACACCTTGTATTGGTAATCGAATTTTTTTAAACAAACGCTAAAAATGGAAGGAAATATCATCACGTCGGTCTAGAATTGGAGTGCTCCACTAGGGAAATTTTCAAAATTTTTTGAGTTAGAAGTGGATATACAAAAATAAAAGCTGATTTAAAAAAAAATATTAATTTTTGCCCAAGGTTATCTGTCAAAATTGATCAATAAGGTATTATTCCTATAATTTGATTTTAAACTTTTAATGTTGATTTTTATCTCATTTTAAACATTTGCGCAAGTGCAACACTTCCAATTCTAGGCCGACGATCGTCGTTCTCCTAGGATAGGGAAACAATATTTAGAAATATTGATGATATTCCCTCATTTTTAGACACAAGTATTTACTTCCCCATCCCTCGACAAATAAGAACAAATACTGCAGATAGAAAATCTTGAAAATCCCTGTTTACCAACCTCATTAGAATTTTCCGACCCTAAGCTTATCATTTCTTTTCACTAGCATCCATTAATATTAATTTCGAGCGAGATAATATTTTTTGTTTCCTGTTAATTTGCGCCATTTTCTAATTTAGCGATTTAGAAACGGGAACCATATTACCTATTTTCTAGATATTATAATGTATTATAAGATAATAAATTTTTTTTAAAACAACTTAGCAAAAGATAAACTAATCAAACCTCATAATAAAAACTTATTTTGGGCAAAATATTGATAAATTATACTTTATAGCTATTTGAAATATTTGCGATAAATTTGGTATATTATATTTTGGACAAATGATTGTAATATAATAATAAAAAAAAATTATTTCTCCCTACCCCACCCCCTTTTCTTTCATCCTTAGATGGATATTTTTTTTCAATTTTTTTTAAATGAAATTGCATCTAATTATTTAAGAAAAAAAATTGTGATTTAAATTTTTTTTTAGAATTTTATGATTGCATTGCGACCAGCTGATTTTAAATGCAAATCAGCTGGACCCGCCATTTTGATAACCCATATAGTTAGTAATTTATTCTCATGTTAAAAACTATCATTGAATTGATAACTTGCTTCTCCTTATTATCTCGATGATCAGGCAATTCTTTAATGAAAGTTTGCGTCAGACATTCGAATAAACTGGCCTCTCGTTATGGGTAATCAAAATGGCGTACCCAGCTGTTTTCATTGATGTACACTTTTAATGAATGCATCATCAGTCTGGCTATTATTATAATATGTCATTGCCCACAAGTAAAAAAGAGAGAAAGAAGGAAGAAAACTAAACCGGTCCTGAACCGCTAAAACGTTAGCCGGTAAGTTCCGCGGACCGGGTTTCGGGAAAAGCCCGTCTCAAACGGACCTATCGTATTTGTTATAAAATATTTTATATAAAAATATGTGAATAAGGATATTTACCTAAATCACCAACAATTGTACTGGAACCCATACTTCTAATGGAATCAAGGATCGCGGTGCTGATCAGAATGGACAGAAAATATAGTAATTGAATAAAAATCTTCATCCAAAGATTATATTTGGCTTAGCATAATTTTTTTTTCTTTCTCTCTTTAATCTCTGCTGAATCATTATCGTTTTGGTATAAGAGGTGGCTAAAATAATTAAATTAAATAAAATAAATTTTTTTATACTTTCTTCAAAATAACAATAAATATAAAGTTTAAAAAAAATATATATAATATAATAATATTTTATTACTTATATAAAATTATCATTATCTATTTTTCTGAAAAATAAAACATTGTTTAAATAGCTTAAAGGTACAAAAAAAAAACGTATAAATAAAATAATTATTTATTTTATTTTTTTTTCTTTATAAAAATTTTATATTTTTTCCAGATAAAATAATTAAAAGAAAGATAAAAATTCGCATTAATTTTGGACATTTATATTATTTTATATAATATCTATAGACAAGAACATGATAATATAATGGGATTATTTATCAAATCAAAATGACTTATGGATAATTATAAATTATTTATTAATAAGAAATCAATACGCGAATTAAGTTTACTTAAACAACAATACTGCGTAGTTACATAACGGCGTTACCTTTTTTTTTTGAGGAAAAAGAAATTCCATTCGTTTTACTTGTTACAAAAAATAAGCTAGTAACGTGTTTTCTTTAGTTTAAATTTAAATGTTTTATTAAGAAATATGGAGAAATAAAAAGGATATTTCTTTATATTATTTTATAAACATATAGACAAGTGCGAGATAATGGGATTAATTAACCAAATCTAATACCTTAAGGGATAATTATAAATTATTTACAATAAATTGTTTAAATAATGAATGTTAAAGTAACGTCGTTACTTTCTTTTTGAGGAAAAAGGAACTCCATTTATTTTTCTTATTTAAATAAATACATGTTCGAAAGTTTTTAATTTTATTCTTCCAGCTTTAAATGGTAAATTTAAACTAACAAAAAACATTATCTTTCTTTTCAAATTTTTAAAAAATGATCAGAGATTACCATTAAATCCACAAAATAAATATTTATTTTTTTTTAAAAAAAAAATGAAAAAATTTACGCATATTTTTAAAATGCATCATAGAGATGTAAACCAATTTTTATAATATTTTAATTGCCAATTCTATTTTTTATATATTGTTTTAAAGAATAGATTTGAATCACGGGAATAAAAACCCGGGGTGAAAAAAAAATCACGGAAAAGAAAAAGCCTAAAAAACAGGGAAAAAAACACACATAATCCTAAGAAACCCATCACATCCTCCTCCATATATACCTATAAAATTAATGATAAAATATTGGTTCCTTCTATCGAACAGATAGATAGGTTCAAAGGTCTCTGTTCGATTTTACCGATTCTTCTAGCAGGTCTGGATTTTGAAAAAAAAATTTTTATGGACCTAAAAATTTTTAAAATGACACGAAAATAGAGAAGTGAGGAAAAATGACAAAGAAAATAAATAATTAATTGACAAAAAAAAGAAAAAAATATAAAATGAGAGGAAGAAAATAAAAATATCGAGAAAAGAAATTAAGAAAATTAAAGATTACAAAAAGTTAGAAATAAAAAAAAAATTAAAAAAAAAATTAAAAAAAAAATAACAATAAAATTTAAGAATATATACAAAATTTTTTTTAAAAAATAACGATTTTCTTTTTTTGATTGGGAATTTGATCTTTTTGATCGATATTTTTCCTTTTTTGATTGACACTTTTTCTTTTTTGATTCTACCTTTTTATTTGTTTGACATTTTTTCTTTTTGATCGGACATTTTCCCCAAGACTTTTCCTTTTTAATTGAAACTTTTCCTTTTTTGATTGACACTTTTCTTTTTATGATTGATTTTCTTATTTTGATTTGAGACTTTTCCTTACCTAATAAATTATTTTTTTTTTAAACTCAGATAAATTTTAAATGATGCGATTTAAAAAAAAATTAATTTGTTCATACATGGATGATTATTTATTTCGGGGAATTTATTTTAATTATAAAATCTTAAGTAGCTTATTCGGTGTTAGCGGCAAGCTATTTTCTGACCTGGCGACATTTTTTACCTCGCGGTAAATTAAATATACCTATCCTAAAAAAAATAAATTTGATAATTTTTAAGCGGTTATTTTAACTACGGGGTGTTTTGGACAGTGGCGTTACTAGCCTTTCTCAACTAAGATAACTTTGGAGGCTTTGAACCCATATTCCCCATTATGCGGGCCTTCGGGCCTATTTCACCTCGACCTTAGGTTGGTTTTTAAATCTTATGTTCTTTGTAAATTGGAACTTTGTTAGTTTTTCAAATTCTCAAATAATAGAAGCAAAATAAATACAAGATATTTTTTTGTGAACTACGATAAGATAATATATTATAACTAGAAATTATTAAATTTATTGTTTGGTGATAACAACTTTTTAGATGTAGGAGAGATCTTGGAAAAGTGATTGATTGAGTGTAACACATGTTAAAGCGAATAGCGAATAATCATTTTAGCCCTTGAGCATAAATACCTTAAATTTGGTGGTGAGGATGTAATTTTTGTTTCTAATTTCTTAACATATATTCATTCTTTTTGGAGATTCTTCCTATCTTGAGATATTTTGCTCAAAGATACCGTTTTTACACAAAAAAATATAAAAGGACATTTATATCTTAACTAGAACAGGCAATAACAATTTTTTAGAATTATTATTATATTAGACATTAAATTATTTGACTTACAAAATATGTTCTGTCACATATTTGTGTATTATTTGTTCAATAAATAGAAATATTAGTTGCAGTAATACTTTTTAAATGCTTAAAAGAAGCCAACTAAATTAATTGTCCTTGTTCCCATTGTTGATTGAAAATATGTTTTAAACGTGTTTCAATTCAGAACAACTATCCTTCACATACAAAAGGAATTAAAAGTAAAGCAAGCAATTAATAGGCATTTATGTATAAAAGGGAATCAATGGCTGGATATTATTTTTAGCTAATCTCTTAATGATTTATAGATCAATTTGTGTGTTTGATTTGTAAGTTAAAATAGGAAACTATAATATTGCGTATTATTCCTCCGATCAGGATGATTATAATGTAAAATAAATAGTTTAATAACATCATAATTTTTTTTAAAAGAGAGAGAAGGGATGCCAAGCTCTTATAGCTTTTAATATATTGGCGTTTTCTTGGCAAAATCGTTTTAAAATTAATTTGCCATAATATCCATAATTGTATAAAATACATACACTGACAAAAGGTTTCCTTTTAAATGGAAGAATTAGCTATTCTTTTAGTGTTATTATATTTATATTATGTAAGTTATAAAATTGATTCACTCCGTTAAATAATATTTTTTTAAAAAAAATATGAATAATTTCTTAACTCTAACAGAGAAATGCTAAGAGATCCAACAAGAGTCAATGCTTCTTTCCCGGATTCCTGTCCTGAACGATACCCATCCATAACACTCGCAATCATAGGCTGCTTGAGCTACAGAAATAGCATAGATAGAATTGTTATCAAGAGAATTTATTAGTGTTTTGGTTAATAACTCTGTATCCTTTTTTTAAAAAATTTAAAAGATCCTATTTGCGGTTTTTTGCTAACACCGCACCACCAAATAGCTCATATAAGCTAAAATCGCGTGTCATCAGCCATGACAGTGAATAACCTAATTTTCAGTTATTTGTGAAGATGTGTAATTTAAACTAATTCTTTTCCCTGCTGCTGAAAGCACTTGGTTTTGTGATTTAAGCTATGAGGCATTAAAATAATGCTCATAGCCTGATGAATTATCGTTAACAAGCAATGTAGTATTTTAACGATAATTCTCTCGATTGTGTCTTCTTACCTCTCTTTTATCGCGTGCGATGTAGCTCTGACTTTCCATAATTATAATTGGGTTTAGTCATTTTCTCATTATCACCTTCTTTCAAGAATCGTTCATTTTGGTTGAACGCTACAAATTTTTCCTTAATGAATCCCTTCCATCAAATATTGTTTTAAATGGTTCCCAAGAATTATACTTGTTACTCGGCCTGTACACAAATCACAATATTAAAATCATTTTTCATTTTTAATTATATTTTTATTTAATTAGAGGACGGATATAATAAAATTACCTAAATAATTTAAATATTAATTTCGATAAAAATTTCCTGGGAATATTTAATTTTTCTTAAGAGGGGCTCTAGCCCATATGAGCCCCATCTAGAAACGCTACTATTCTTCCCCATAAAAATTAGTCATTCGAACAACAATAATTTATTTAGGTTAAATTTAAATTGGGTCATATGTATTCTCCTTAATCTCATATTTGAAAATTGATATATAATGCAATATAAATTTACACGAAAATTATAATTAGACTCTAAGTAACACGAGTCTTGTTTAAAGACGTAATTTTATCTTAATAAAGAAGAAATATAAACGCTTTCATTTTTGAAATACAATATATTTACTCATCCCAAATTTCTGGTTTTGGGGGCTAAACACATTTACTAATTGTATTTTTTTTAACATATAAAAAAAAATATTTATGTTTATTTTCTATATAATATTATAAATGTTAATTTTTTTTTAAAAAAAGAGTATATATTATATATATATATATATCGTATGGGGATTCGGAATCTCTTAATTTTATAGAAAATTTTGAAATCCAATTTAACCGAAAATGTATTCTAGCATATGTAGAGTATTTACCCTATAAAATTTCACGGCCAATTTTCAGCCACAGACATTTTGGTATTTTTTTTTTTTGATATATATGAAAAAATCTATATATAAATTAGGCGCATTTCTCAAGTTCAATTGCAAAATTGTTTGAAATTTACATGTTGGGTATCCTTTCTACACATGCCGAAATACGATTCCTGTAAGAATCAGAATTTTAAAAATCTAAAAATGGCCCTTAGTAAATGATTTAAAAATCAAGAGATCCCGAATCCCCACGGATCCCATCCCATCTCTTCTCTTCTCTTCTCTTCTCTTCTCTCTCTTCTCTTCTCTTCTCACGACATAAAAATAATTATTTTCGTTTATTATTTGTTTTTTATTTCATTTTGAGAAGAGAAGAGAAGAGAAGAGAAGAGAAGAGAAGAGAAGAGAAGAGAAGAGAAGAGAAGAGAAGAGAAGAGAAGAGAAGAGAAGAGAAGAGAAG